CAGGCTAAGAGGCCCCTTCGCGGCAGAGGAGCTCGTCCTTTCCGAAAGTCAAAGTGACTTGAGGCGGATTCCTCCCATTGGCGGAAGACTGGCACTATATTTCCACAAATGGGAAAGTACCACCACGGACAATTGGGTTCTAACCACTATCAGAGACGGACTGTCTCTGGAGTTCCTCACACTCCCACCTCGGCGCTTCATCTCCTGCCCCCTATCCAGAAATCCCGTGAAACAAGGTCTCATGGAGGAGGCCATTTGTCATCTGTTAAGCATAGAGGCAATAGAGCGGGTACCCCCAGATCAATGGGGACTGGGTTTCTACTCCATCCTGTTCGTGGTACCAAAACCCTCAGGAGGATGGAGGGCGATCCTAGACCTCAAGGCTCTAAATCGGTACCTAATTTACCAAAAATTCAAGATGCAAACTCTTCATTCTATTCTGGGCAGTATTCGGCCGGGGGATTTTCTTACATCCATAGATCTGACAGAAGCTTACCTGCACGTTCCCATACATCCAAATCACAGGCGTTTCCTCAGATTCAGGTATTCCAACCATCACTATCAGTACAGGGCCCTGCCATTCGGCCTATCATCAGCTCCAAGGGTTTTCACCAAAATCCTGGTGGTTCTCGCCGCACAGCTCAGGTTGGTACCAGTCCGCGTTCAGTGCTACTTGGACGATATCCTAATCCAGTCGTCCTCGGCACTGAACGCCCGTTCAGACGTGGCACTGACGATCAAGACACTCCAGGATCATGGATTTATGATCAACTTCCCAAAGAGCCATCTGATCCCAACAAACCGTTTGCTCCACCTAGGTGCAATAATAGACACCAGCCAGTGCCGAGTTTTCCTGTCTCAGGAGCGTCAGCTCAGCATACGTACGATGGTCACCAGGATGCGCAAGGAGAAACGTGTAACCCTGCTTCTGCTGTCACAGCTGTTAGGGAAACTGATCTCATGTATTGCCATAGTGCCTTGGGCCAGGCTTCATACGAGACAACTACAGTGGTTTCTACTCCCTTACCAGAAACGGGGTGTAGCATGTTTTCCACAGAGGGTGCGAGTCCCACCACAGACACTCACGTCCCTCATCTGGTGGTTGTCCCCAGCACTGTCCAAAGGATCCCTGTTCAGAGAACCGACTCGGGTAACCTTGACCACAGACGCCAGTCTGTTTGGATGGGGGGCACATCTGCAATCTCAATTCGCCCAGGGACGGTGGTCTCAACAGGATCTCAAGAAAAATATCAATTGGTTAGAGCTCAGAGCCATACACCTAGCACTTCGCCATTTCCACAAGGAGTTGGTGGGCCGCCACGTGCTGGTTCTGACAGACAGCGTGGCGGCAAAGGCCCATGTCAACAGGCAGGGCGGCACTCGATCACGGATTCTAATGCCCGAGGCCCAGTGTCTGGGGTCATGGGCGGAACAGAATCTGTTGTCCCTAAAGGCAGAACACATTTCAGGGGTGGAAAACGACCAGGCAGATTTTCTGAGTCGATCTACGATAGATCATTCAGAGTGGTGTCTACATCCCCATCTCTTTCGGGAGATAACTCACCGTTTCGGTCGGCCCAAAGTCGACTTGTTTGCATCCCCGAAGAACACCCAGCTTCCCCGGTTTCTATCTCGGTACCCATCCCAGGGTTCGGAAGGAGCAGATGCCCTCCACAGCCCTTGGCTGGCGGGTCTTCTATATGCATTTCCACCCCTTCCCTTGATCCCGGCTGTCATCAGGAAGCTGTTACAGGAACAGGCGGAGCTAATCCTTGTGGCCCCGTATTGGCCGAGGCGTCCATGGTTCGCGGATCTCATGAACCTCGCCGTAGCCCCCCCTTGGCAAATCCCTCCAGAGAGGATAATTCTAACACGGGGCCATATGCCATCCGAACCCACAGTGGCTACAACTAGCCGTCTGGCATCTGAGCGCCAGTTCCTGATGTGCGGATCTTACTCTTCAAGGGTGATAGCTATGATTCAAGCTTCCAGACGGCCGGCGACGAACCGAATCTATGATGCCACTTGGAAGAACTTCTGTGACTGGTGTACCTGTAAGGGTTTGTCTGTCTCTTCTGTCACTATTCCAGTGATTCTTGAATACCTCATGGATGGAGTGGATAAAGGCTTAGCGCCCAACACCTTGCATAGACAGGTGGCCGCTCTTTCCACGGTGTTCACCTGTGCCAACGCCACTCCATTGTCCCATCATCCCAGGGTCCGATCCTTTATGAAAGGAGTCTCCAACACCAGACCTCCAGTAGTACACAGGTATCCATCTTGGGAACTACCTCGTGTTCTGCAGGCACTCACTAGGTCTCCCTTTGAACCTATAAGGTCTTGTCCTCTTCACATTTTGTCCCACAAGGTGGCTTTCCTAGTAGCCATCACGTCGGCGAGACGCGTGTCAGAGCTGGCTGCTCTTTCAGTTAGGGAAGACCTGTGTACCTTCTATCAGGACAGAGTGGTGCTGAGGTTAGATCCCTCATTCATTCCCAAGGTGAATACCCTGTTTCACCGGGCTCAGGACATTGTACTACCAAACTTTTGTCCCAATCCTTCTCACACACTAGAAAAGCAGTGGCATTGCCTAGATGTACGTAGGGCATTACATCATTACATTAAGAGGACAGCTTCCTTTCGCAAATCGGAGGCATTGTTTGTCTCTTTCCACTCAACTTCCAAGGGACAGAAGGTTTCCTCCTCTACTATAGCCAGGTGGATCAAGGCCTGTATCGCTCAATCTTACCAGGCTTCCTCTTTACCTGTCCCAAGCCGCCTGACAGCGCACTCTACTCGTAGCGCTTCTACATCGGCGTGGCAGACTCAGGCGTCCATAGAGGACATCTGTAAGGCGGCTACGTGGTCGTCCCCTTCACCATTCATTCACCACTACAAACTCGACAAGTTTGCTTCCGCGGAGGCTGCGTTTGGCTGTCGGGTTTTACAACAAGTGGTCCATTTCAGCACCGACACTTAACCAACCTGCTTCCCACCCGTGGGATCATAGGGGCTTTGGTATGTCCCATGCGCGGAGTCTACATTCCTCTACATGCTGGAGAAGGGGCGTTGTCTTACCTGAACGCCTTTTCTCAGCATGAGGAATGTAGACTCCACCCCCTCCCTGATTATTACTAGCAGCTAGGTTAGTGTCAGCAGTTCGGAGCCATCTCGTCACACAATCATTCGCTTCGCCCTTTCGAAAACTGGGGCATGGTCAGACCCTGCAGAGGCGTGGCAACTTTGATTGTTTGGTCTGATTGGGCTAGAAGACTAAATCAACCCATGCGTGGAGTCTACATTCCTCATGCTGAGAAAAGGCGTTCAGGTAAGACAACGCCCCGTCTCACAATGAGCACAAACCTATGTGTTGAAAATAAGGGAAGTATTTTGGAAATGATGGAAATAGGCAAGAACCATTATCCAGGCAAAGAGGGGTGAAATATTAAGCCCTGGGAAGCTAGATAATATTCAGAAGCAATTCAGGCAAATGCCTTTCTGATTCACTGTGCTCTACTTCTCTAGTTCTTATAGTTCAGTCATGTTTGCAAGGTTATGTTGTTATATCCTGTCAATAAAATAATTCTATTAATAGTTCTCATTTTTCTTTGGAGATGATTTTCTGTTCTGATCTTCTAGTAGTGCTGGCACCTTCATAGCATCCCAGACAACTAAATAAATGCTGTTAACCAGTGCCAATGGGCCTTACAACGGGCTAACAAGATCAGAATAGAATAGAGCTGGAAGGGACCTTGGAAGTCTTTTAGTCCAGCTCCCTGCTCAAGGAGGAGTCCCTATATCATTTCAGACAAGTGGCTGCCCAGTCTCTTCTTAAAAACCTTGAGTGATGATCAAGCACTGTCACTCAAGTCAGGGCAGTGTGGATCTGGGGTGGAGAAAATGCTATTCTTCTGGGCAGACAGAGACACAGAGGAAATACAACTTTGGATTTCAATAAGGACATTGTTGGAAAAAAGAGACCCAGAGCATGCTCTCTTTGCTAGATTTGGTGGCATGCACAGAAACAGTGGGGCCTTATAGATGATAACCAGCACCTTGAATTGGACATAGGAGCCTCACAAAACAATGGCCTTTGGTTCAACTTCCCTCCCCCATGGAACCACCCCTCAGAAAAGGAGAGTCACTGTAACATGGGGTGTTCTAGTCTTGTAAATTAAATTAACAAGGATACTCTGATCAATGATATCGAATGCTGCGCGATCAAGGGGAAGCAGGATGGCTGCACTATCCCCATCCTGAGTCTGCCAAAGGTCATAGCAAGTGCAGTCAATGCTGCCTCAGTACTCTAATGAGGCTTGAAATATCAAAGGGAAGACTCAGTGTGGATGACAACAGTCCATCTCTGTTGGATCATTGACTATGTTTAATTTAATAAATTTATTTTTTCTCCAGATGTTGAAAATGTCATCCACTTGATTGTAGTTTCACAGAGGTTCTTTAAGCCTGTGTCCAGATTTAACCATAATTATGCTATCTTATTTCCATTTCTCATTGAGGCACAATAATGGCTAAAAATAACCTGGATTTCATGCTTTTTCCTGTTTAGTCTGGTGGAATGTATTTAAGTCTAGTGTGGGTTGGCTCACTTGTTTCATTGATTTTCAAATGGAAGAGAAAGACCCTAGTTTCTTAGTAAACCACATACTGAGATAGATATATGTGTATGTATATATGTATAAGTATAATCTGGAGAGTTTGTGTGCCTTGAATGCCAAAGGATTTAATAGCATAGAGTTTTTGTCATTTCTGTCAAGTCTCCATGAGATGTCTTACAATAGACTTGGCCTAAGGATCCTTAATTCTATTTTCTCATTATTTATCTGATTTAATTCTGCCACTACTGCTAAGGAAAATATTTATTTATTTTAGCATACCAATATTTTGACTTGTGTAAATGTAAAAATAAATTTACTACAATAGTGAAAAATGGTTGAAAAGATACACTAAAATTGACAAGATCAAACCACATATTTTAATAAAAAACACTTTTTTAATAAATTAATGGATTCAAGTTTATAACAGTCAAACATGACAATGTAACAAAAGTCAACAGCTTCTGCTTTTTCATACAAATACTATGCATTACAGTAAACCTATCTTTAGTTTACAAAAATGTGTTGGTGAAAACTAACCACCTAAAAGTGAACATCAGTTGTTAACAGAGTTGTATTGCATGTATTCAAGAAGAACCTCACCATATTTTTATACTGAAACCATCCAGTTAAGTAGTGTAGTCTGACATTTATTGGCAATTAATTTTTGATCTTAAATATGAATGGTATCTTTAAAATGGCTTTAATAAGACAAAACACCAAACAGCTACAGTATTCTCTTTGATAAGAAACAAAATAGAAATTGGGCAGATCAGAGAACCCAAAATGTATTTATTCTACCCGTTTTTCTTTAAGGTTGAGATATCCAGTATTATAGGTAGAAAGTGTTTTTAATGCACACTATGGCTACTGGGAGAAGTGCATTCCCTGCTGAGTAGTAATGCTGGTGAAACATACCTTCAACTGTTGCTAGTTAGGAAAGCAGATTTTGGCAGGTTGTTCAAGGAATCAAGTGTAGAATTGATATAGCACACGTGATAAGTTATAGAACTCCCATCATTCCCTAAGATATTATAGCAGCTTCAGAGTTCAGCTGTTGGTGGACATACAGTCACTATAAAATGCCACAATATGTATAATAGAAAAGTTCAATAAAATCAGAATAAACTACCATGTTATTAAAGAATTGCTTCTACTTAGTATGCCATGTATTTCCTTGCATTCTTTACTCAGGGGTGTCAAACTGCCAGCCCGTGGGCCGGACGCATCATGTGGAAGCCACGCCCACCCCATTGCTGGCAATGGCAAAACCGGCCCGATACGTTGTGCGACGTCATGTGACATTGCGAGTTTGACATGCCTGCCTTACATGCTGTAGTTGTGGACAACCATAAAGACACAAAATATCAAATAATTATGTCATTAATAAAGCCAGTTACTTTATAGAAATTTGATGGAGATAAAGCTAGTTCCAGCAACTCTGGATGGGTAAAATTTCATGGCACTGGTAAATAATGTCAAGAAATACATGCATCACCCTTCCTTGAAAGGGGTGGAGAAATTGCTACCCATCAGCATATGGATAATTAGGAGCAGAGTTTACTTTGTTAACATGTCAACTTCCTTAATAAATGGAGACCCACACTAGGAAATCTTTTTTCCATATTAGTTGAAAACCCAAATTATCCCATTCTCAATTTACAAAGAAACATTTTATGATTTTAAAAGTATGTTCTCAGAAACCCAATTTCGATTATTGGTTAAAGAACACAGACTATGGGACTTAGATATATTTGAAATATTAGATATATTTGAGATTAACCAGTAAAAGTTACTCTGGTTAACTCATAAACATAGTAAGATAATTTATTTGCTTATTAAAAGGACTGGCTACAATATGTAATATTTTAATATTCATTTTAGATGATTTTTTTTTTACTTCCACCAGGATGATGTTACATACCTGAGTATTGTTTGCAATAGTAAACATATCCACAAAGGAGCATAAAATGATGTTATTAGAAGAACAGCTAATAGCTTAATTGAGCTATTCTCAATTAAGACAAGTAATAATAGCAAGCCTGTCAAAATAACAAGAATTCATGTTCTTCACTAATGCAAGCCTTGGAAAGACTTGGTCTAAACACAGCTTCCAGTTCATTACTTTCCATATATTTGGAAGGTTCTTAGAAAAATCTGAACCCAATTTCAATTAGATGCCAGTACTATTGTTAATCCCTACCCCAGTGAAATCACATCAACAGAACACGTTGAATAGAAGGTATTCCTCTAATATTTTTGTAACTGATTTTTTTGTAGTTCACACAGTATATATTGCTTTTTAATGGCACACAAATGTCTGTAACTTATTCATCTAAAACACTCATTGATTCGGCAAAAACCAGTGAGCTGGATAAAGCATTTGGTTTCTTTGTTTGAATCTGGCTGCTGAGAAAGGCAATTACAACTGTCACTTCTCTTGGAGTTTCTAAATTGGAATTCTATTTAACAATACTTTACATCTGTTGGATAATCCACATTTTGTTTCCAAATGACCTATTATTTACCATGTTCTAAATTAAGTTGTCTACAAGTTTATATGAATCTGTAATTTATCTGTTCTATTTGTATTCATCTTAAAAGTTCAGATTTTAAATGATATGTGAAACAGGCACTATTATCTGAAAATTTCAGAATGATTTTTCATATCTACAAATCAGATAAAAGCATGAGGCAATTGAAATAAAATGACTGCAATTTATCACCCAAAAGAATGCACTTATATTTGTAATAAAATATAAATTTGCTCATTGTAAATTGAAAAAAAATGACATAGAAGGTACATTTTAGGAACATTTCTGCTAAATAGTAAGACTCTTTCTTTCTTAGACAAAATTCTTTGTATTGATAATTCTGTACCCTGTTTACACGTAGTATTCACTAGTTCCTTGTATACCAACAAGAGTTGGAAGAGGCATACTCTAACCTATTTTATTCCAAGTCAGTAGCAAGGAACATTGACCATTACTGTACTTCCACTGATGTTGATGAAGTTATGCAGGCTGTACTGAATTTATTCATTTTCTTTTAATGGCTGATATCCCTCGGGGATTTGTAAACAGCAGCACACAATACTGTAAACAGTTTAACGTCTGCTCAATTAGTCCAAGTCATTTGATTAGATTAAAATGAAGATTGCATTTGAGTTCTTCTCGAGTTCTTTCCATTTCATCAAGACACTTTTCCCATTATATGTAAAATCCTGAGCAGAACACCATGGGTTTGAATTAGTTCTCTAATTACAAACCAAAGACATCATAAAATGTCTATTTACTATTGTATATGGGAAGCCAGTTATTGAAAAAGCTTCCAAAATAACAACTTTGGATTAAACCTATATTTTAGCATGATGGCCAGTTCTCGCTCCTGATGCTGAACTTGGCAGAGAAGCTGATGTTGCAGCATCTTCTGCTTCTTCTAGGACTTCCTGAAGCTCTTGACTTACACTAGACTGAAGGGCAGCAGGTGTAAGCCATTCTTTTGGTAGACAACTCTGGAGAAAAGGAATACAGGAACTGAAATAGGCAAGACGATTGACCCAGCGAGGAATCTCTCTTCCACAGAGAATCTAAAGGGAATTAACAAGTTAATCATTTTTTAAATAATATGTGGGCTCGTATCTGAAATCAATAATTTCTCTCACTTGAAATATTCAAGTATGCAGCACAAGGTAAATTTCTACTAATATTGCCTGCCAGACTGATAATTTAAGTCAGGGGTGTCAAACTGCTGGCCCGGCAAAACCATCCCGATACACTGTGTGACATCACGTGACGTTACGAGTTTGACAGAAGGGGCGTTGTCTTACCTGAACACCTTTTCTCAGCACGGAGATGGAGAATCCACCAATGGGTTTAGACTGTGTTCCTGCCCAATCAGATCAAGTCAGCCAAAGTTGCAACGCCTGTCCTGGGCTAGAGTGTCCCAGTCTCAACGCAGGCGAAATCATGACTGACAGCAAGATGTGTTGGTTCATAAATCTAGCCCTAGGCGTAAATCACCTGCGAGGGCGGGAGTGGATTCTCCATCTCTGTGCTGAGAAAAGGCGTTCAGATAAGACAACACCCCTTCTCCAGCACTGGAGATGGAGAATCCACCAATGGGGCATTCCAAAGCCTACTGTCCCTGAGGGAGGGGAGCAGGCCAGTCCGGAGTGGCACTTTGAGGTACTACCTGTTGGAGAACCCTCCTACCAAAGGAGGCCTCCGCTGAGGCGAACCTATCAATCTTATAATGCCTTATAGAGGGAGATGGTGAAGGTCATGTGGCCACTTTGCAAACGTCCTCGATGGATGCCTGAGTGGCCCAGGCCGCGGACATAGTCACACTACAGGTTGAGTGAGCCATGACCCGTTGTGGAACCAGCAATGACTCAGCCTGATATGCCCCTGCTATACACGCCCTAATCCACCTGCCAATTGTGGAAGAAGACACCTTCTGACCCTTGGAAGAAGGATGGAAGGAGACAAAGAGGGCCTCAGAGTTGTGGAAGGCAGCTGTCTGTGAGATGTAGTAACGGAGCGCCCTGTGGAAGTCTAGAAGGTGCCATTGCTGTTCCAGGGCATGAGAGGGTGAGGACAGAAATCTGAGAGTACGATTTCTTGAACCCTGTGAAAAAGAGAATTGACCTTAGGAAGGAAGGTAGAGTCCAGACAAAGGACCACCTGGTCCTGGTGAAAAAAGCACGTCATCTCTGATTGAAAGTGCCGCCAATTCTGATATTCGTCGCGCAGAGGTGATTGCCACCAGGAATGCGACCTTGTGAGATACGTAACGTATATCACATGTCTTGAGGGGCTCAAAGGGCGGTCTGGTTAGAGCCCGAAGAACTCACGGCAGATCCCAAGAGGGATAACTGTGCACTACAGGGGGCTTGGTGTTAGTAGCACCCTTGATGAATGAACGGATCAAGGGATGATGACCTAGGGAAACCACGGAGTCACAGGTAAGTACAATGGAGAGAGCGGCGACTTGTCTGCGCAATGTGTTTGGAGCTAAGCCCCTCTCCAGACCCTGTAAAAGGTAATCCAATATATGTGGAATTGTCAAGTCTGCAATGGTCAAGTGGCGGTTCGAGCACCACGAACAGAAGTTCCTCCACATGGCCTCATAAATATGGTTGGTAAAGGACCAACAGGAGGCCTGGATTACAGTAATGACCCCCTGCGAGCAGGACTCTAGGGACAGGATTGAGCACTCAAGTGCCAGACAGCTAACGAGCCATTGGGGGTCTGGATGAAGAAGGGTCCCCTGGTTGAGTGAGACCCAATCTGGGGGAATCCTCCATGGAGCTGCTAGAGAGAGGTTCACTAGGTCGGCAAACCATGGACTCCGTGGCCAATACGGGGCCACTAGAAGAACCTACACATGTTCCCGAAAAAGCTTGCGGACAACTGCAGGAAGAAGAGGAAGAGAAGGGAAGATGTAAAACAGTCCCTCTGGCCAAGGGCTCCAAAGAGCATCTTCCCGTTACGCCCCTGGAGACGGAAAGCGGGAAAAGAATTGCTGGAGATGAGTGTTTGTCGGGGAGGCAAAAGGTCTAGAACTGGCAATCCGAAGGAGTGGCAGATCTCCCTGAAGATCCTTGGGTGCAGGTGCCATTCCGAATGGTCCACCGTCGCCCGGTTCAGGAAGTCACCCTGAAATGTGATCGGCCTTGATGGAGGCCAGGTTGGCTTCTGCCCAGGGGCCCAGCAGGAGTGCCTTGATCAAGAGTGCACGAGATCGGGTGCCCCCTTGCCGGTTCACATGTGCCTTGGCAGCCACGTTATCCATGAGGACCAGAACGTGACGCTTCGCCATTGTGCTGTGAAAGTGGCAGAGGGCCAGGTGTACGGCCCTGAGCTCCAGCCAGTTGATATTGTGCCGAAGGTCGGAGCGGGAGCAACGGCCCTGGGCCCACTGTGAGCGAAGGTGCGCTCCCCAGCCGAACAGGCTGGCACCAGTTGTAAGGGTGAGTCGATCGGGCTCCTTGAAGTAAGACCCCTTGAGCATGGCCGAGAGCCACCATGTGAGGGATCGCACGACGTGAAGCAGAAATCTCACCCTTTGATTGGAGGAACTGATGTTCAGTCTCTGGAAGGGGAGTAGGAACAACTGGAGGTTCCTGGAGTGGAGCCTGGCCCAAGGTACAATTGCAATAGCCGAGATCATCTTCCCCAGTAATTGGGAGAGGTTGGCCAACGTTACCGTTCGACCCCTGCGCAATTGGACAATCAACTTCCTGATGCTGTACCTGCGTTCTTGGGATAAATAGACCCGGCTTTCCACCGTGTCTATGATGGCCCCTAGGTGTAATAACCTTGTTGCAGGGATCATATGGCTCTTGGAGAAGTTTACCGAGAACCCGTGATTCTGGAGCAGCATTATCACCAGTTCGTGATCCGCCTGAGCGGCCTGGATCGACAACGACTGGATTAGAATGTCGTCCAGGTAGCACTGGACTCTGACTGGTACCATTCTCAGGTGAGCTACTAGAACCGCCAGGATCTTAGTAAAGTGCCCTGTACTGATAATGGTGTCCCCTGTGGGCAAATCGTAGAAACCGGCGGTGGGTGAGAGAGATAGGGATGTGAAGGGACGGTTCCATGAGGTCGATGGACGTCAGGAAGTCTTCCCTTCTTACGCTTCCCAAGATGGACTGGAGCGTTTGCATCTTGAATTTGCGGTATGCAAGATGATAGTTGAATCCCTTTAGATCTAGGATGGCTCTCCATCCTCCTGATGCATTGGGGACGATGAAGAGGATGGAGTAAAACTCCCGACTTCTCTGATCCAATGGCACCGGTTCTATGGCCCGTATATTTAAGAGGTGACGAATGGCCTCTCGCATGAGTCTTTTCTTTGTTGGATTTCTTAGTTGGGGACAAGAAATGAAGCTATTCGGGGGGTTGGAGATGAACTCCAGGGATAGTCCGTGACGCACGGTGTTTAGGACCCATGCATCCATGGTGGTGGCTTCCCACTGGAGGGCAAAGAGAGAGAGTCTGCCCCCGATGGGAGGATCTGCCTGAGAGTCACCTGGATTGGTGGAATGGGCAGCCGCTCCTGCGAAAGGGCCATTGGATAAGAACAGGCGCACTATAGGGGACGCCTGGAATCCAGATGGAGCTGATTGTGTGGATAAGAACAGGCGTACGGTAGGGGACGTCTGGTATCCAGACAGAGCTGTTCATGTGGATAACAACAGGTGCACGATAGGGGACGCCTGGAACCCAGATAGAGCTGTTAATATGATTAGGCCCAGGATTACAATAGGGTAATTCTGGTTTTTAGGGAGACCTGGAGACACCAAAAACCCAGAAATTGAATCCAAGGAGGTTAAATGCATGAGAAAGAAGGAGCAAACCGGATAGAATCAATCCTGTTAAGCAGGCTGTGAAATGGATATATTACAGACTTGAGTGGCTGTGGAGATCAAATACTGACTGACGTCTGACAGGCCTTGGAATGGTGTGGAGACACCACTGATTAGCCAGGTAAGGTTGTATTTAGAGCAGATGAAGGAAGTAGGCCTGAGGAGTCTAGCAGGCCTGTTCTGAGGCAACAGTGGCCGTGCAGGGTCCCTGTGCAAAGTGAGGCTCCAGGGGCCTCAAATGGTGGCCGCAGAGGAGAAAAGAGCGCAGAGCAGGCCCCAAGATGGTGGCCTCAAGGAAGACCCAGTCCCAATAAGGGACACAAAAAGGCGGCCACACCCAAAAAGGCTGCCACACTCCGAATGGCAGCTCAAAATGGCGGCCACACTCAAAAAGGCTGCCACACTCAAAATGGCCACCACAACAAAAAAGGCAGCCGCACGAGGTCTGGGGGTATTGCTCAGGAAGAAAGGCTGGAAAAGAGGTAATTTAACAGTGGAGGGCTGAGGAGCAGCACTGAGCCCAGTGCTGTCCAAGAGGAGAAGGAGGGCTGTGTTAATGAGGGGAAGCAAGTCCCCTCAGCCTCAAGCCTTTATGGTTGGAAGTGGGGGGAGGGAGAGGAACGAAAGCCCCCATTCCTAGTTAAAGGCAAACAGTTCTTCAGCCAACTGAGAGGAAAAACACAGTGCTGAATATAGCACTGTCTCAGAATACTGAAGAGAATGGATAATAAAGACTCCACCAATGGAAACTGTACCTGCCTAAGAGCCAAGTTGCTATGTCTGTCTTGGGCAAGATCAAGTTGAGACTGGGACACTCTAGCCCAGGACAGGCATTGCAACTTTGGCTGACTTGATCTGATTGGGCAGGAACACAGTCTAAACCCATTGGTGGATTCTCCATCTCCAGTGCTGGAGAAGTAATTTTGACAATTCTGAAATTATATGTGTAGTCTGCATCCAATTTCCCCCCAAAAAGACTAATTAGAACGTTAAGTACAATGAAACTTCACTTATATGTATTGAGGGTAATGTGTATCATGTCATAATAATACCCCAAATGCCATAAATAGTCATGTATTAACACCACTTTAATCACTTTAACACCACTTTAGAGATATCTGTATTACATTAGATGTGCCAGACTTGTCTGTTATTTTAAAGTGATGCCTAAATGGAAATTTGGTCTACTGCATCCAAATATCTGGGAAATGGAGGTCCATTAATAAAAGTTTCAGTAATACTGATAAAAAATAGTACAATAAACATATAGGTCACCAATGCTGTTGCCATTATTATTTTCTCCTTATGCATTGTTTTCAATATATAGCACAAATCCCACACTGTCCTTAGTAGTATCTGAGAAAGCAAACTGATTATGTGTTCATGAAATAATTCTTTGATAGCTTAACTGATTTCTCTAGAGATGCAAATTGAATATTTTGTCTTTGCCAAGTGCAAACTGGAAACACGGGTAACTTAAGGATTCTATAAGATATGCAAAAGTTACTTTTTAAAATAATGGCACCTATACAAATTAAACTTGCCTCTGATAAAGATGAAGAAAAGTGATTGCAGTTTTTGTGCATTAAATGATAAGCATTTCCCTTAAATTCTTTTCCAAGTTCTTCTATAATTTTTTCTACATCTTCCTCCATGAAGTCAGTACTTCCAAGAACAACAGCTTCTCTGAAATAAAAGACTGAAAATTAAAGGATTCTTGCAATTCAGACAAGAGTTTTTTTCATTTCCATTCTCTTTTGAGAACATAGATACATTTCTGGAAACCAATCTTCATTTAAAACATTAACTTTTTGAACTTCATGTTCAATGAACATTTTACAATATTGCTTTTTTACAATTATGCTTTTATTTATAGGCACATCAGCTTACTTGTGTAGGCATACTTTTTATCTATAACAATTATGGGAAGAGCTTTTTATAAGACAGCACAACAAATAGTATTTTTCTATTCTAAACAAGGATTAAAATTGGCTCCTTTTATTAACAGGAGATGGGCAGCTACTTTTGTGTTTGATCATAAATTTGAGAACACAAGAATGAAACTTACTTACTTGAATTTAAATGTTTCTCCTAATTCAGATGCATTGCCTGGTAAAATTTCAAATATTCCAGAAAAAGGATATGGATGACCACCATAAGCAAATTCTGAAAGACAAATTCAAGATATTATCCTTAGTCAGTTGTTAATAATGGTTGACTTCCCTATACAAATAATTTACCAGTCATGCTTAAAACTGATGTACTATCATATACAAAATCTAGACAAACCTTAAGACTTGGTACTTATAATATGAAAGATTTATATTTTAGTTGGGAATATTGGGTTGAAAGATAGCAAGGCAAATGCTATTTATACTAAGTAAATCTCCCTCCTCCGAGGGAGACAGGAGGTTAAGAAAGATGAACTATAAACAAACAAAGTATCTTTATGTATAAATTATGAATAAAAAATCAGAATTAGTACAGTTTTGGCTGTCGTAAATGTGCCATGCTCCCCTGGTCACATGAACATATTTCAGATGCTTGGTCACCTGTTTCACATTTACGACCAGTTGCTAAAGCACCCTGTATCATGTGATCGCCATTTACAATCTTCTCTGCTAGCCTCTCCAAAAAATCAATGAGAAAGCAGATAAGGAAATTGTAAGCAGAATGGACATTGGATTTGTCTGTTCTGCTATTGTTTCTGCCCCACTGGAGAAGAAAATGCTAGCAAAAATTAGCATTCTGAGCCTTCCAGAATGATGGAATTTATTAAGTGTTTTCACCAGATTTGAGATCCATTCCTCTAATGCAGTGGTTCTCAACCTTCCTAATGCCGCGACCCTTTAATACAGTTCCTCATGTTGTGGTGACCCCCAACCCCCATCCAGCTGGCTGGGGAGGGGGGGCAGGAAGGCCTCTTTGCCGGCTCCGCCGAGCCTGATTGGAGAAGCGCCATTCCTCTCCCTCTTTCCTCTCTCTCTTTCTCTTTCCTCTCTTTCTCTTTCTTCTCTCCTCTCTCTTTTTCCTCTTTCTCTCTCTCTCTCTTTCCTCCCTCTTTCTTTTTCTTTCCTCTTTCCCTGTTTCTTTCCTCTTTCTCTCTTTCCTCTCTCTTTCCCTCTTTCCTCTTTTTCCTTCCTCTCCCCCTTTCTCTTTTTCTCTCTTTCTCTTTTCTCTCTCTTTCTCTTTCTCTCTGTTTCCTCCCTCTTTCTCTTTCTCTCTCTCTTTCTCTCTTTTCCTGTTTCTCTCTACTCTCTCTCTTTCTCTCTCTTACGGCAGCATCGTCGGGGGTCCCCGCCCCCCCCCGCCCCGGCCTCCGCCGCATCCTCAGCCGAATGGGCGGGGAGGGGGAGCAGGACGCTCCGGTGGCAGCGGCACAGCTGCATCATCGGGGGTCCCCGCTGCCCCTGCCGGGACTCCGTGCTGCCCGGCCTCACCCTCTGCCCATCAATGGAGCTGCAGTGGGGGCTGGTGCCGCGCGGCCCCTGCCAACCACTCTGCCAGCCCGGCTGCTCCCCCCCAGGCATCCCTCTTGTGCCGGCGCCCGCCTGAGCTGCCTGGGGGGCAGCAGGAGGAAGAAGGGGAGGAGGAAGAGAGCAAGGAAGCTGCCGCCAGCGCCGGGCCCCAGGAGGAGGCTCTCCTTTCCTACCATTGCTGCATCTCCTTCTTCCTTCCTGGCAGCCTGGACTCTGGCGCGCCTTCCCGGCCAGCGGGGCCAATGGTCGGGCTGGCTGGGGATCGCAGGGGCTGGTCTCCCTTGGGCCGCGGCTTGCAGGAGGGCTGGCCCACTCAGCGGAGCCTCCAGCGGGCCACTCCCAGCAGGGATCCTGGGGCTTCCTTGGGGGGCTCCAAGGTCACGAGGCCCTGGCTGCGCTTCTCCCAGGGGATGGGGCACTTGGGCTCAGGGCCAATCAGGAGCCCTGCAGGAGGTAAGTCCGCCTGAGAGAGAGAGAGAAGGGAAGCGAAAGTGCCTCTCTGTCTCTCTCTCTGCAAATGGCGGAGGAGGCCATGCGGAGACAGATGTGGAGCGGTATCTCGGTTCCTAAGACCATCGGAAATATGTGTTTTCCAATGGTCTTAGGCGACCCCTATGAAAGGGTTGTTCAACCCCCAAAGGGGTCGCGACCCAGAGGTTGAGAACCGCTGCTCTAATGTGTCAAGGGATTTCTCCTCTGAACACCATTGTTCTCATGATCATTCAGAAGGCCCCTTCTCCAAATCGTGCTAACAATGACAGGAATGGGGCCTGTTTTCAGGATGAAGTGAGCTGGCCTCAGCTCACCAGCTGCAAAACAATGGAAAGCAATACCAATAGCAATTATACTTATAAACCGCTTCATAGTACTTTACATCATTCTCTAAGTGGTTTACAGAGACAGCATATTGCTCCCAACAGTCTGGATCCTCATTTTACCAACCTTAGAAGAATGGAAGGCTGAGTCAATCTTTAGCTGGTCACAATCGAACTCTTGGCAGTCGGCAGCATTAGCCTGCAATACTGAAGTCTAACCACTATGCCATCATGGCTTTTTCCCCTCTTCCATTAAATGGTAAGTCAACCTAGGCACAGTGGGGCATGGTGGGAGCCCAAGCCTTCCAGACAGGGTGGGTTGGGGAAAAGGCCCAGGTCTCTTGGGTGTGGTGGAAAACCTAGGTTCTCTCTCTGCCCCACCATGCCCAGGAGGCCAAGTCTTCTCCTGGCACTTCGCTTAACAAATCCAACTGGGAGAGCTAGATTGTGATAAATTCAAATTTAGAAACTGATGTTCTGCTCCTTCAAATCTCCCCACTAATCACACACTAGAAGTTCCATTTTAATTATTCCTTTTAGTAAAAAAAATATAAGGCTAAAATAAGGTACATACCTCTGCCATATATCTCAATTCCTGAGTGAAATACTCCAATTCCAAGGGAGGAAGTATATTCATTCATCCAGTACTAAAAAAGAACACGGAAGATTTAGCTAAATATAAATAATTTTTATTTACATCCCACATGCCAAGGAAATTATCTCTGAGGGGGTAGACAATTTTAATCATTTTTTCCTGAAATATTCAAAACATTGTTTGTTGAGCATTAAGATAGTCATAGATAGAGCACATCTAATTTAACCAGGTGCTAAGAAGCTTAATAATCCAATGCTTCTTTATTTGTTATATTAGGCATGTCAAACTGCCGTCCCGCGGGCCATATCGGTCACTCCAAAATCACACCTACCCCATTGCCAGCAATGGGGAAAAAGTCACGATACGTAGTGTGATGTCATGTGACGTCGCAAGTTTGACATGCCTGTGCTATATCATAGAACAATCAGACAATTAAATCCAAGCAACTTTTCTAACCCATTTAAAAAAAACCTTTTACAACTACAGAAGAGGAACAGCTTTTACTGCACAAAACAGACCAAAACTGATTTGAATATGGATCTGAAAGTGGATTTAAAAATGCCAACTACAAAGCTAATATGGAAAAGGATGCCATATTGGAAATACAAATGAAACTCATGAATGAAGGCAAATGAAACTGGCTATTGTCTTAATAATGAAAGGTGACATACAAATAATAAATCAGAAAAATGACTTGGATAGCTTTCTTATCTTAGATGTACAAAATAGACATGTTAAACCAGTGAAGGAGTTTCTGAGAGGAGACAGAGAAAACGATAAGAAATCAACTTGTGGGACATTATTTGAAAAGATTAAAAATCAAGTTTTAAAATAGTAAACAGAAAGAATATAAAGTGGATTTATTTGATCAAGATATATATATATATATATATATATATATATATATATATATATATATATATATATATATATATATATATATATATATATATATGTTGTTTCTGGTAGCTCTTTACAGACATAATTCAATAATCAAATCCCTAAATCAGAATTACATTTATCTTAATTTGTTGCAAAGTCCAAATATTAACTTCATTAACAACTCATTGCTGTCTATTATAATACAAGAAGATTTTTTTTTTCATTCCGTACCTCACTCCATTTTCTATAAACTCATTTTAAATCTTTTTCTCTCCTTATAAGCACAGATCCAATAAAATTAAAAATTAACAATAAAAATTACATATGTAAGGAAATTGAAGAACTATCCATAAATAATACTTATAGTGCAGAAAAAAATCTTTTTTCTTCCTCATGCTCTCCCCATTCTCTGTTCTATCTTTTTTGTGGCTGATGCCAAAAAACTAAAGCAGGATCACAAGTGGTTAGTATTTGGATGACAGCCTCTTAGATACCTCCAGAGCTTTTAGCTAGAATGGGAAGTAGAAAAACATTCTGGAAGAATACAGTGGCAAAACCCTTCTATACTGTTGCTAAGAAAACAACATGGAAGTGCCTGTGTAATAACTGGGAGCTGAGCTTGACTCTAGGGAGATTACCTTCTCCTCAGAAAGGGACTTGTTTTTATTACACTTAAAGTACCATGTTATAAATAAATAATAAACAATGTAAACATATTCTTGGACTGTCAGTTCCCATTATCAGTTACTCTATAATAATGATGTGCATATCTCAGACTTCAAGATCAAAGAATTATCAGGCCAGGATAATCGCACAAGCAACTGTACTGCACTGTACCATCCCTTACCATACACCACACACATCACACTATACCATACCTTCACTGCACTCTACACGTATATTATGGACTTTAAAAAATGTACTGTTTCAGCTCTAAATCACTCTACACTATTGTGGATAGTAATTACAAAAATGAGTAATAACTTTATAATTATTTACAAAGAATCCTCCAGGAATTATTAGATTATGTTTTGAACAGTAGCATTCTTATTTCTATGTGCAAACTCCCGTGAGTTTTGAATGAGCAAATATGTAATATTATGTGCTAAATTATTTTGGTAAACTATGAAAATTATTGCCTTCCTTCTAACAGACCCTTGAGGAATTAAATTCCTTTTAGATGCATAGCTATAGATAAACATTGCATACCACCATGCACATTCCTAGTACAAACCATGTGGTTGTGCTTCTGCAAGAGAGATGCCATGGAAAGAGCGTCTGTAAAATTCAAGCTGTCACTACATTTGTGCCACTTTCACTCTAAAAATGTATGCAGATCATAAGGTTGATATTCATCACAAGTACATGATTACATAGTCATTATTATGTTTCACCCTCTATTTATGCTTTTAACTATACTGCTCAAAAAAATAAAGGGAACACAAACGTATAGGATCCTATACGTTTGTGTTCCCTTTATTTTTTTGAGCAGTATAGTACTGTACTTTCTGGCTATAAGACGACTTTCACAAGCGGTAAAATCGGCGCCAAAGTCGGTCGTCTTATACGCCAAGTCGTCTTATACGCTGGAAATTACGGTAGTTTCTGACGTATAAGACGACTTTCTAGGCATGTGACTCGGCGCCGAAGACGGGGGTCGTCTTATACACCGGGTCGCCTTATACGCCGGAATATACGGTATACAGAAACCCTTTCTGCTCTGCTTTCAAAATCATGTAATTTATGTCACAACAGTTTCTGACGTAAAATACTGAAACCATCTCCACAATTATAATTAAGAAGAGGAAAAGGAGAATCCAAATCCACAGTTAGCATCATAGTAGTGGGAATCTAATTCCTTTCTTTCTGGTTAAATTCCACTATTTTATTCTCTATATCAAAGATATCTTGCAGATGGTTGACAATCATCATTCTGACAATCAAATATAGAAAGATGACTGTTGAACCTGATCGGCAATTATAACATTACATTTGGCTTTGCACTCACACACACACAAAACCCACCATTACATTAGAAAGCCATGTCCATAGCAGCTAATATAGCTGCTTTAATTTACAGAACAAAGAAAATCTTGAAATAGTCCACCGTCCATCAAATGCTAATTTGATCTGACAATAGGGAACTAGAATATAACCTAATTTTATTGCAACCTATCTCTGACAAACATTGATATTTTTGTCCAGTTAAGTCTGGTTTCCTTCTGATTTATCAGGTTGGATTAATTTGCAAGTTAACCAACTTAAATAAACAAACAGGATTTGGGGTTTTTTTGCTGAAATGCTGCACTACAAGTCTAGGATTTACAACTGTTCATTACTAACTTGATATATGAAGCAGTTAAAAGATAAGATAACAACTGTCCCCACCTCACAATGTTGCAATCTCTTGATAATACTGCTGGACTATTGCCAAAGACATAGAATACTGTATAAAGACCAGATGTACATCACTGTCAAGAAAATGTGTAGCTATTATTTCCCACCATCTTTTATTTTAATAATTCGTGCTACTGTATATCACTATTTATTAACTTTGACAACTTGCAGATGTGTGGACTTCAACTGTCAAGCTGCCTGGGGAATTCTGGGAATTGAAGTCCCCCCTTCTTCAAGCTGTCAAGGTTGAGAAACATTTAAGTGGACTACAATGTTTTTATAAACATTTGCAGCAAAAAATGAATGCATAAAAGTATAGGTAATCCTTGACTTATGACCATTTGTACAGTGACCATTCAAAGTTACAATGGCACTGAAAACCATGATTTATGACAGTTTTCCAAACTTACGACTGTTGCAGAATCCCCATGGTCACGTCATCAAAATTTAAACATTTGTCAACTGGCATGTACTTACGAGTTGCAGTGTCCTGGGGTCATGTGATCACCTTTTGCAACCTTCTGACAAACAAAGTCAATGGGTAAGTCAGATTCACTTAACAATCATGTTATTAACTGCAGTGATTCACTTAACAACTATGGCAAGAAAGGTTGAAAAACGGGGCAAAAGTCACTTAACAACTGTCTTGCTTAGCAATGGAAATTTTGGACTCAATTGTAATTGTAAGTTGAGGACTACCTATATACATTCATTTAAACCTTCTGTAAATTCTGTATGAATAGAACACATTAGTAACTCAAAACATGATGTAACTTTTATTAAAAGTACCTTAGAAGCACCAAAGTACCAAACATTTTAAAATTTTACATGTCAAAATAAGTGGATGTTTACATTTTTGTTTATGATTTTTATTTAGAACTATTTCTATGCAAGAAGCTATATTTTTCATCTTGTTCTATATTTTGTACATTTATATTACTCCCTATTTTCCAAGGAATTCAAGGTGATGTATACTGTTTTATTCCCATCCTATTTTTTATTCCCATCCTATATTATACCCATGACATTTAAACAAAGGCAGATTTTCTACTCCTAGCCCAACATCCTGACCCATTTGTAATGGCTTCATGCTTGTTAAGATTGGTTTTGACATTTGCTAAAACCTTGACTTTTTTTAAGCCCTATAACTACCAACCACAACAAAATGCAACCAAACAGGTCAGGTGAGCAGACATGCATTAAGGATATGATAAAGATGTAGTATGCTAAGGAACAGGATGATTACAGAAGCAAACTCCAAGCCCTTTAACACACAGTTGCAGCTAGATTTATCATAGCTCCAAATCTATGTTCATTCCACCTTTTATTGCACTATATTGGTTTTTCCTGTTGGAAAACAGTGTGCAACACTAAAAAAAAAAAAAAAATGAGATTGAGATAAGTAACCTCTGACTTACTTATGGTCCACCAAAGAAATTGCAAAACTTTAGCCTTAAGTAGACAAGAGTAAAATATATCTCAAATTTTCCCTGCATATATATGAAGCTAGAACCATAATTTAAAAACATTAAAGTCATGTTATTAGACAAGAACTGACTTGCTCAAAAAGATATTTTCCAGCACAAAATATCATTTAATCTTTTTTGTTACTTTCCATCTTTTGATTCTTTCCAAGGGCAAAAAAAGGGGGGGGAAAGAACGGGGGGGGGGGGGAAGAACCAAGCCTGTAATTTTGTGATCTTTAAGGCTTTCCCACTGTAAACAATTTAAGGACTATTGTCCCAGATAACTCATTAAGAAAACAATTATTCTTTAGATATATGGGGGGGGGGTTAATTTAGTAAACTACAGGTACTGGTTGAGTATCTAATTGAATCCAGCACCCGGTAGGAGAGAAGTGAAATCATACACACCTGTTGCTAGGACTTTCGCGCTCCCGCTAATCCCACCGAACCCATTACTGGTTTCTAAACTATTACAGCACCTTTCAGTCAGGTAACCATCGGAAAATTGAGGGTGGATCGGCGGGCGGGGAGAGAAGCAGGGAGGATATCTACTGCATTGGCAAGAACTTCTGAAAGCGGAAGAAGCCTCCGCTTCTTAACTTGAACCTCGAGAAGCTAAGCCGAAATTCGCCCAGGCTTGGATGGAGGGTGGGAAAAAAGGAAACACGAAAACGCAAGAGTCGCTGTGTCGGACAGCTAAGAGAAAGCCAGCTGTCCCCGGCGGAAGGTTAAAAAGAAAGGAGGAGGAAAAAGGCCAGGAAGACGCGCCCGGGTAGCGCTTAGGATGGGAAGTGTCCACTTAGCCGCTGCTCAGGCGCAGGAGCCCTCACCTGCCCGGTCACTCACCATGTCGTAGACGTTGAGGACTACCAGCTGGTTCGCCATCCTTTCTCCTTTCAAACGGGGGTCCCTCTCAGGCCGAGGACGGCGGCCCCCTCGGGACGCTCGCGGGCGGAGGCCGCCTTCTCGCCCTGCCTCTTGCGGAGGAGTGTGAGGAGGTGGAAGAGGCCGCCAGCCGCATGGAGCCGCCTCAGTGCGGGGAAGGGGAAGCCGGGCCTGCACTGCCGGGAATCGCCCTCGCGCTAAGCGAGGCAGAGATGGAGAAGCGAGCCTCGAGCGGGACCCAGTCAGCACGACTCCGCCTCTCCGCTTGCTTCTGGGACCTGGCTGGTCCGACCCCACCGGTCTGTCTTCAGGCGACAGATCGCGGCAATAAACCTTCCCCGAGGACTCGCTGTGTGTTCCCCTCAACCTCGGTCCCAGCGTTGCAAGAGAAGCTCTCAAGCCAGCCGCACCTTCCACGGGGGCAAATGGACGCCAAACTACAATTCCCGGCATACACTACAGCAGGAGCCCAAGCCCCGTTTGGAGTGCACCTCGATACGTGAAATACGAATTCTATCCGCATTCCACTTTGTCAGAGGAAAAGGCTTGGAACGTTTAAGGGTTCGCTGTAACTTGAACTGTCCTCAGTGAAATATAATATTATGCTGCTCTGCAATCCCACATTGCAAAGATATGTAAGGATCACGACTAGATAACTAGCTCAAGATTGCAACCTTACCGCCACTTGTTTTGTCGATAACTAGGTAACGTGAAGTGGTGCTTACTCATGAGACTAGATAACCAGAGTTGCCAACTCTTGGGAAACAGAATATTTTGCCAGAACAGATTTCATTTTTTTCCATTGGCTGAGACTTCCAAGGACCTAATCGGGTACAATAGTTTAGAATTATAAAGAATACTTAGTCCAAAAACCTGACGTGAATTCAGAGTTCTTTTGCAAAGTAATGTCCTAAATACCAAAAACTGTTTTTTCTTTCAGAGATACAATATATGAAGATAGAGGAGCCACTGCTGCAGTAGCTATTGTTAATTTGAGATCAAAAGCCTTTGCCAATCTACAAATCATTCTGAAATCTATTAGTACCCATCTAGTAAACAGCTATCATTCATTCACAGATTCCTCGTGCCCATTTGCTGTAGGTTGTTTGACGTTGTGGGGAAAATAGGAGGAGGAAGATGTATTAGCTATTTTTGCTGCCTTGAGTTATTTGTGAAAAAAACAAAGATGGGATATAAATAAACTGTACAAGTCCTAGTACCTTGAATAGACAAGGTAGAATATGCTGCTAAAAAAAGTTGCTGCCAATGTGCATTCCCACCAATTGCCTTCTCAATACTTTTTCCCTTTCTGCCTACAATTATCTCAAGCACAGAGATACTTGGAAGAGCAAAGTCCCAATTATCAAAATAACTATAGTGGAATTAATGCAGTATTGCTGCTGCTGCTACAAAAAAAAACATCCTTGTGTGTTTTGAGTTTGGACATATTTGGGCTTTGCCCCCTGCTTCAAAATGAAATTTAGTGTGATCATCAGCAAGTCCCTAGAATAGTGAAGATAGTCTGTAAATGAGTAAGGCTTGTCTTAATAAAATCTAGACAGGTTTGTGGGCTTTTGTAATAAAAATATCATTGCCTATCTTTCATCACAGAAATAGTACTATACAGTGGTACCTTGGTACTCAATTGCTTTAAAACTCATCAACGCATTTTGGCATGGAAATTTTGTCCTGGTACTTATCAGTTGTTTGGTACTCAATGTATAAGCTCAGTGTCAGCTGCTTGTGACTCACTACATTATTCCTTCTGGGAAAAATGTGGTACTCATCGATTTTTGTATTCATTTGCCTCCTGGAACCAATTACAATGAGTACCAAGGTTCCACTGTATTTCAAAAAGCATTGGATGGTAGGCTCATAATCACCCAGAAATTAAGGAGAAAATATACAAAATATACAAGTCTTTACTTTTATAATGACGTTTACAAATTTCTTTGACATGCATTTCTCTTTCTTTAACTGCATGATTTATTGCATAGATCCTTTTACCATTGATTATCTGAGGGCATGTTCTGACCTGGTACTCTCAGCTCTGAAATAGAAATGTTGAATGTTTGTGTCTGAAATCCTATTTATTACTTATTTATTAAACAAATTTATATAGCCAGCCAGCTCACACATAGGTAACTCCAGGTGGCCTACATTTTAAAATCCACTGCATAATAAAAACCCAAAAAAATCCCCACCCCATCCCCATGGCAGCAACAACGCAATCAAATCAATCACTTTATCACTCATCTCTACTTGTGGTCCCAGGCCTGCTGATGACATCATGTTTTAGGGCCTTAAGGGAAAGCAACAAAGTGAAGGCTAACTGTACACCAGATGGAATGATATTCCACAGAGAAGGGGTCACCACTGAGAAGGCCCTTTTTTGTGGTATGATGAAATACTTGTAAGTTTCATCCACTGAAGTACTAATAATGTGCTCTGGAGATTGTACAGTTCTCTTGGTTACAAAATGTGGAATTTCCCTTTAGTATTTCTATAGTATCTAGCTCTCTGTAGTATAATGGTTAAGGTATTGGGCTAGGCACAAGGGACCCATGTGCACCGTCAATTTTGAAAGCTAAAATGACTCTAGGTCAGTCATTCTCTCCTAGCTCAACCTACATCACAGGCTTGTTATGGGGATTAGGAGAATACTATTCTGTGTTATCTTGAAAAATATGGTATACATAACTCAAAGTAAATGCCCATTACCTGGCACATTGATTTATAATTGAAGCAGGCACAGCAGCACCTGCATTTTCTGTGTCACATGAGAAAAGCACATCTTCCTTCCCCTGTCCTTACCACTTTCTACAGACGGATGATCAACAGCACCCTGTCATGCAGCATCTCAATCTGGTTTGGAAGCAGGAAGATGGTGCAGAGAATGGTGAGGATGGCTGAGAAGATTATTGGCAGTTCCCTCCCTCCCATCCAGGACATAGCACATAAACGTTGCTTGAGCAGGGTCCGCAAGATTTCCTGGGACACTACACATCCTCTTCACGACCTGTTTTCTTTGCTACCTTCTGGGAGGAGGTTTTGTGGTATCCAAAGCAGAATATCCAGATTCAGTCACAGCTTTGTTCCATACAGTATTAACCTTGTGAACTCTCAAGCTTCTTCCTTCCATTATGTATTCAAGATGGACAGTGATTAATATTTAAATATTTCTTATATGTAAGGGTGTAGGTCTATACATATGTTGTGTATAGTATGTTTAAATGTGTGTTATGTATGTGTGCACTTTGAGATCAACAAATTTTCATTTTTAATATGTGCCATTGTGCCCACAGTAAAAAAAATGACTATTAATAAAGATTATCTATAATTTAAATTTCTAGGGTTGCCCAACTGTCAATACTCTCTATGTCTTACAAATATTAGCAACTGAAATATAATATATTAAAACCACAAATACAAGAGGATCGTGCTGGGTGCAGGAGGGTGAACTTAGCATTTATACCATGTTCACCTTCTCTAGGAGGTATAAACCCCATCCTAGCCCAGGGCTTAGCAAAGAGCCAGATCTTCTAGAATCCTTTGAAGAACAGATCTAGGGTATATAATATTCTAAATATGTATGCTTCTTTTAATTTAACATAGTGATAACTATAGAGCAGTGGTTCTCAACCTGTGGGTTGGGACCCCACTTGGGGTCGAACGACCATTTCACGGGGGTCGCCAAACAACACAGTCCGCCATTTTTCCCCCCTTTTCCTTAGCTGTGCTACTCCGTTTTATTCTATTGGCTTTTGAAAGACAATAGAATAGACTCTCTTGAATAGTTGTCTGCAGCGAAGGTGAGCTGTCTGGAAGTTTCCACCCCTCCCTGCTGAGCAACTACTAAAAATGTAAGTAAAAGAGGGCCAGAGGTGGGAGGCTGGCGGGCGCAGGGAAGGTTGCTGGCGTGCATGGGGCCTGGCAGGTGCCTTACCTCCCTTGGGCTGGGCCAGCCGATGGTCGGCCTGCGCCATCTCTGCCGCTTGCCAGCTACGCCTCGGCCAGCACAGGGGGCAGCACCACGCATGCGCGGCGCTCCCGGGCAAGGAAAATCCTCGACTTATGACCGGCTGGGTAGTCCTCGACTTATGACCGGTTGGGGGTCGCGGCATTAAAAAGGTTGAGAACCACTGCTGTAGAGACATGTTCGTGTCATTTCCTTGGTAGCAGCAGAGAAATAGTTTTCCATTGCCTTTGTAGGGAAACATTTTCAACTTCCCAGTCTAGCACACAGCTCTGGGTTTTCCTGGCCTTCCATTCAAATACCACATGCTCTGGCTTAGATATATTACACAGATAGTAAAATATATCTGTAAATCAATAAACGCTATGCACTTATATTTTACTTAAAATGCTGAAAACAAACTTCCACAAGTATTCAATCACTTAACTGAATTTTATTTTGACTTTTTTTATGGATACTTACATATGGTAAGTGCAGACAATTTGACATATATTAAAATGAGGTTAAATATTCTTTATTGCATTAAATTGGACTGCTCTTCATATTTTAAATTGACTTGGAGCACTTCCTTTTGGCAACACAGAAAAGGTGCATAGATGTTATAACTTAATGACTATTTAATGCATATAGTAATGTAATCTTTCCATTTATACTAGTTATCCTTTATGTTAGTACTTCTGTTAAAGAATAGGAAGGTTTGCTTAAAAAAAAGTTAGAAAAAACGAAATATGATTGCCTTGTCCAACCTAAGTACTGCCCAAATGCATAGCCAACAATCTAGGAATTGAAATTTAAATTTTTAAAGGGTGCTCTGGATGGTTAAAGATGACCTATGGCAGGCAAACATCATCTCAAAATAAAGTTTAAAATCCACAATAATAATGAAAGGTAATTTTAAGATTGTATTAACTCCTGGAAAAGTAAAAAAAATGAACAACATTTTTCATAGCTAAACATAGTTAATCATAGAAATATTATTTCATCCAATGTGATAAATTAATCTTTCTTCTCCTGATCATCTGTTTTTTCTTCAGTGACATCTGGCCTAAGTGATATCAGGGGATCAACAAAAGGGAATGCCCGAAATATCTTCACATATCTGAAGTAGCTGAAGATGAGGAATCCCCAAAATAAAGTCACTACCAAGGTGGCCCAACCAGCAACATACATCCAACCTGGTCTGAAAAACAATATAATTTGTATATTCAACTAATTAAATTTAACAAAACTAGCATATAAATCACATTATTTATTAATATAGTCAGAGCAATTAAAATATTAAAGGGAGAGGAGATAGCCATTTTTCTGTATATTCATAAAAGTTGTGCATAATCTACCATTTCCAGAGAGATAACTTAGTCTTTTCCAACAAGAACCACTTGTCAAGGTAATGATTTAGAAGCTAACCAGCTTGTATAATGTGAGATGAATGATGCAATGTTAGGAATGACTCAGCAGGAGTCTATATCCCTTTAAGACAGCCATGTCAAACTGCCGGCCCATGGACCGGATGCGTCATGCCGAAATCGTGCCCACCCGATTGCCAGCAATGGGGAAAAAGTTGCGATACGTTGCATGACATCACATGACGTCGCGAGTTTGACATGCCTGCTTTAAGAGCTTGAGTATAAAAGGGAAGGCCTTGCTGGAGTCTTTCTCTTATCCGTTTCCTGTTGTAATTACTGCATATTGGAGTTTACTGATTTATGACCACATGTATGTATCTTGTTTCTACTGTATATTTGTAGATAGTGTAATACAAACCACTGTATACTGTATTTACTCCTGGGCTATCTCAGCACAGTAAGACTGTGCATGCTCTTACACAGCTAGATTCTGCTTCACCTGTTACCAGCTAAACCCAGAGAAGAAAGAAGTGGCAAATCTCAGTTTAACTGGAAATGAAATATTAAACATACTTAATTGCAAGAGCTTTTCAATCAATGATAATCCAACTAACTTCAAAGTACAAGTAGTCCTTCACAAACAACTGGTTAGCAATTGTTTGAGGTTACAATGGACCTCACCAGGACTACTTACACCTGGATTCAAAGTTCCAGTGGCTCCCCCCCACCTCTGGTCAATCATATTTTGGGCTGTTGGAAACTGACCTGAATTTATAGCCATTTGAAGCGTCCTGCAGTTACACTACCATGATTTATGACTTTTTTGTTGGAAACCAGCATTTACTTCCAGTTTCTGGCAAAAAACTCTGTAGTTTCTGTCTAAACCAGTGGTTCTCAACCTTTCTAATGCCGCGACCCCATAATACAGTTCCCCATGTTGTGGTGACCCCCAATCACTTATACATCACCGGGTGTCAGGGGCATGGCCAAAGAAAAGAGGGAAAAAATGGCGGACAGCCTTGTTTGGCGACCCCCGTGAAATGGTCATTCGACCCCAAATGGGGTCCCGACCCACAGGTTGAGAACCACTGGTCTAAACTATACTAAGGCTACTTTTTGTATTATGCAATATTATATCAGAAAACTAGTGACTGTACATATATGCTGCTAGATTTCACCCTGAAATATCTATAGCCAAGTTTTATAATAAAAACATACAACATGAAAAATTGTTGATTATTTCCAGGCTATAATATCCAGATAAAAAAGGCCAGATTAGTGGTTTACAGACATTGCAGAATATCACTTATCATTCCAACTCATACCATCCCAGCATAATCCCATGTCCCTTTTAAAAGCTCTGGATTACAATCCTTTCTGGAGATATTCAGATCTAAAACACCTTCTCAATGCCCCAACACAACACAAACCCTGCATATCCCCTAATATTAACTCTGTCATCATAACATACCAGGTCAGGAGATACTATAGGACTGAACAGAATTAACTATAACATTAAACATTCCTTGACTTATCCATCTTTCAGTATTAAATAGGCAATAGGCACTGCCTCCTGGATTCTATAAAAAGTAAAAAGTTGTTCTCTACATAAAATAATAGATGGTCATTAACCTGACATCTGAAAGGCCAGTGTTAAGAAATCAATGAGAGCAGTTCAGCCTTTTCAGCCATTTTGTGCCTGTCTTCAAAGAAAGACTACAAAAGGAAAATGAATTATAATTTATCAAGAAGTTCAATTTTATCTCTTGGAGCTTGAATTTTGATTTTTTTTAAACCATTAAAAATGTACTACACTTAAATACTACACATGCTGAGTGAGCAAAACAGGTTGTTTCTGTTATCAAAGTGGCAGGGAATGGTCAAGGGACATGCTGCTTATTTTTCATGGACTTGAGTTTAATATAGTTGCTATAGCCTATGTTCTGGCAATTTATTTCTATCTGATCTTGTTTTCAATTTTTTTCTCATTTAAGTGAAAACCGAAGAACGAAATTTATTCTTAGAACCTGTAATATGGCATTAAAGGATTTAGCTAAAGGTCATCTGAAATACATTTCCCCACCACAACTACTTGAAAAAGTATATATATAGATGTGTTTATTATGTATTGAATAATAAGATACTAACTCAGCTGTTCTGTATATTATATAATTTTTCAACATACAGCATATCAAAGTGTTAATCTTACCAAATATAATACTAGTGATTTCTGTTTGTAAGTAGTGATAGTTACAACTTGAGGTCATCATTCTTATAAAGTATGTAAGCTTTTGCAATACACCTAGGAAGGCATATTCATTAGTCAACGCATCAAAAAACTTATTTAAGTTTTATGATTGTATACAAAGAAGTTTTATTCATTTCTTCTCATGTTTTCCACTGCAGCGGTGAAAAAATAACCAGTAAGGAGGTTTATATAAGCATGCATGTTGAAACTGTGGAGGTAGATTCTACTCCAAAAGTTCTAGCTCTTGAATGTACAGAAAATGTATTGCAGGACCTCAGATTTTCTATAGCTGATGGGGAACTCATCAAATTTGCAGACAACACCAAGCTGGCAGGAATAGCCAGCACTCCAGAAGACAGGCTTATGATACAGGAGGATCTGGACAGACTTGAACACTGGGCGCTATCTAACAAAATGAAATTCAATGGTGAAAAAAGTAAGGTGCTACATTTAGGCAAGAAAAACCAAATGTATAGGTATAGTATAGGGGGTACCTTGCTCAATAGTAGCAACTGTGAGAGGGATCTTGAAGTCCTAGTGGACAATCACTTAAATATGAGCCAGCAGTGTGCTGCAGCTGCCAAAAAAGCCAACACAGTGCTAGGCTGCATTAACAGGGATGGAATCAAGATCACGTGAAGTATTAATACCACTCTACAATGCCTTGATAAGGCCACACTTGGAATACTGCATCCAGTTTTGGTATACCACAATGAAAAAAAGATGTTGAGACTCTAGAAAGAGTACAGAGAAGAGCAACAAAGATGATTAGGGGACTGGAAGTTAAAACATATAAGGAAAGGTTGATGGAATTGGGTATGTCTAGTTTAATGAAGAGAAGGACGAGGGGGGACATGATAGCAGTGTTCCAATATCTCGGGCTGCCACAGAGAAGAGAAAGTCAAAGCTATTTTCCAAAGTGCCTGAAGGCAGGACAAGAAGCAACGGATGGAAACTAATCAAGGAGAGAAGCAACCTAGAACTAAGGAGAAACTTCCTGACAGTTAGAACAATTAACCAGTGAAACAACCTGCCTCCAGAAGCAGTGAATGGTCCAACACTGGAAGTTTTTGAGAAGAGACTGGACAACCATCTGTAGGGTTTCCTGCCTGAGCAGGGGGTTGGACTTGATGACCTCCAAGGTCCCTTCCAATTTTATTATATTATTATTATTATTATTATTATTATTATTATTATTATTATTATTATTATTATTATTATTATTATTATTATTATTATTCCTGTCTGGTGACAAGAGATCAAAGCTATTTTATTTTATTTCCCCTCCAAAATAAAATTGTTAATAAAATTAGCTAAAGCTCATAGGCAATTACCTTTCAATGATGCCAAAGGTCTGGACAGCAAAATATGTAGACAAATTACAAAAACTAAAACACAGAAAATAAATTTATTAATATTCTGATTTTATTGTCCTTGTGTCAAATTATAGTAAAAATTTAAAATAAATGCAACTATAACATTTCTAAACAATGTATAACCCAGATGATAAAGAGCGTTAAAGTAAGGTTCTACAAAATAACATAAATAAGGATGTATTTAAATGATTTTTTTAAAAAAATAAATGTTAATTTTAAATGAAAATATATTGCCTAATTGCATATGGAGAGAAAATACTTTACTTCAGATAGTCTCTGACTTAACAACCAGTATGTTTAGGAACTGTTTGAAGTTACAAAGGCACTGACCGTTTTTCACACTTACGACTGTTACAGCATCCCCATGGTCACATAATCAACATTCAGACGTTTGGGAACTGACTCATATTTATGATGGTTGCAGTGACCCAGGGTCATGTGACCACCTTTTGCGACTTTCTGACAAGCAAAGTCAATGGGGAAGCCAGAATCACTTAACAACTGTTGCTAACTTAACAACTTCAGTGATTTACTTAACAACTGTGGCAAGAAAGGTCATAAAATAGGGCACACCTCACTTAACTGTGTCACTCAACAACAGAAATTTTGGGCTCAATTGTGATTGTACGTTGAGGACTATCTGTATACAAATATGTAGCCATTTCAAAGCAAGTGTTTATGCAATAATTTGCAGTGTTTTCTTTGCAAATTAATGCAGAAATTGGATAGAGCAGCCATAATTAAATCCTGACTTAAAAATGAATTTAACTATTTCCCCTTACAGGCTGGGTAATTCTGGGAGTTGACACCCATGTATCTTAAAGTTCACAAGCTTGAGATCTAGACAGTTCACATGAATTACAAAGTATGATTGGACCATAAAATATAGTTAAAACATTGTTAAGCCTTGTAGAATAAAATTAAAATTGTATGCAAAGTATAAGAACAAGTTGTCACAATGTACCAAGAAGATTATGTCTAACATGCAGAAAAAAATAGAGGGCAGACAAAAAACCTCTAAATATGGTTGTTTATTAGCATACTACTTGCTAGTATATGGTAATAATGTTGAATGTCGCCCAAACTTGATAATGGGCTGGAGGTGGAAGAATAAGCTGAAATCAAATCCAGGCAAGACAAGGTGCAATTGAAAAATAGGAACTAAATTGCAAGATCAGTTAAAACAAATATCAAAATTCAGGAGTATCTTAACAAACTGGCATAATGAGTAGAAACCAACAAGTTGAATACAAACTGAATAGCCTGGGTAGGGAAAATCAAAGGCATGAATAGAGAACAAGGAAGATCATAGTGGGAAGCAGTCAGTGGTGGGATTCGGCCAGTTTGCACCACTTCGGCAGAACCGGTAGCTAATTTTTTGTTGCCCAGGCCCAGAATGGACTTCTGGAAGCAGCATCCATGCAGAGAACCGATTGTTCACATATTTGAATCCCACCACTGGAAGCAGTGCATGCAAATGTAAGGGTGTCTTGCATGCAGTATGAAAATTCTCATCTAGAAACTCAATGACTATCTTTTCTGTATCTGATATAAATGTGAATAACACAAAATAATGAGTTTTGTGCCACAAGCTGAAATTTGAGCACTCTGATCTCTCTGTTCTGCATTGGTCAGACTACACTGAAAATCCTGTGTTCAAATCTCAGTAACATGTTTTGTAAGGATGTAGGCAGAGCAAACCAAGCAAGCTACTGAAGGACCAGGAAGGAATAACCCACAATAAAAAAATTGGAGACATTGGGTATGTTGGAGAAGACAAGACAACAAAGAGACACTAGCTTTCTCCAAATACTCGAATGGCTGTTATGTAGAATGGAGTTTTTCCAGCAGTGTTCTGTGAGAATGTGAGTGGGTTTTTCAGGATTAAGACTAGGAGAAGAGGGGAACTTTCTCTCAAATGAATAGGTTTTTTTTTTCTTTAGACTCTAAGGCACGTGTGTCAAACTCGCCGTGTCACATGACGTGTCGTGACATATTGCGACTTTTTTCGCATTGCCGGAGCTGGGGTGGGCGCAGCCTCTGCATGATGCAACCGACCCATGGACCAGCAGTTTGACACCCCTGCTTTAAGGGGATATTCTGCAAATGCAGAGGATTTTTCTCCCTTAGTCTATTGTGGAGAAGTTATTTTTCTTTGCCTTTAGTGACTACAGGGAAAAAACACACCTCTTCACAGGAAAAATATGAAAATAAGGAAAAAATAAATGGCTTGAATATTCGAAAAAGAATTATAAAGAGCAGGATGAAAAGAAGGAATAAAGTTAGAGAATAACTTTGTACTGTGAATGAGTTTAAGTTTCCAGGACTAGATGAAGACAGTTTAAGTACAGTTTGAGAAAAGCTGGGGAAAGCACAAGGAAAGCAAATTTGATAACCATTTGATGACAACATGTAGATACCCTGTAAAAAGTTTATTAACAACAGAAAGTAATTCCATATGAAACATTGTGGAAGCATAGCCTTCCTTTGAGGTTACAAATAATGAATAATATCTATTAGACTCAAATCAGATTTGAAAAGTTAACCTGAAATTTGGATCCAGTATTGTCAGCTTGAACATATAAGTACTAGTATACTGAGGCCAAGTTAAAAAGTTCAAACCAGAACTATTTAAGATTTCATATTTTTTATCCAGTTTCCTTAATTTTTCTGGTCTTTTTTTAAAACAGGACTTGTAATTCTGAAAAAAAGTAGATGTGTTCATTTATTTAATAACATAATTTTAGATTATGAAATATAAGTATTTAGATTGTGTCTGTACTATTTCATGATACAAATAAATACACAAAAAATAAATATATCCTCAGAATTACTTATTTTAATTATAGGGGTCTTAAGAGAATCCACAACTTTTCTCCATAAGCTTCCTGAATGCAATGGCTACTTGCAACAGTACAGGGAAAATCTTCTGGAAACCATCTAGATCAGGGTAGTCAACCTTGGCTCTTTTATGACTCGTGGACTTCAACTCCCAGAATTCCTGAGCCAGCTCAGGAATTATAATAATAATAATAATAATAATAATAATAATAATAGTAAAGTTGGAAGGGACCTTGGAGGTCATCTAGTCCAACCCCCTGCTCGGGCAGGAAACCCTACACCATTTCGGACAAATGGCTGTCCAGTCTCTTCTTAAAAACTTCCAGTGTTGGAGCATTTACTGCTTCTGGAGGCAAGCTGTTCCACTGATTAATTGTTCTCACTGTCAGGAAGTTTCTCCTTAGTTCTAGGTTGCTTCTCTCCTTGATTAGTTTCCACCCGTTGCTTCTTGTCCTGCCTTCAGGTGCTTTGGAAAATAGCTTAATTCCCGAAGTCCACGAGTCATAAAAGAGCCAAGGTTGACTACCCCTGATCTAGATCCATAAGGTCTCGGAGGTGATCATCCTAATCAGTACTTCTACATCACGGAGCTCCCAGATGGCAACAACCCTCACCTGAACCAGGAAGTAATTTGACTATGGCAAAGTACTCACTGTCCGTGTTCTCCATATCCAGACCACCCACCAACTGCTCCAAAACAAAGATAACTCTAAAATATCTTCATCTAAATAAGCCCAGTAACCATGTCTATCAGCACAGGAAGTAGTCCTGCCAGGAAAAAGAGTAGATGATACTTAAGCAGGATCCCCATCCTGTCTGTACAGCCAACTTAACATATAGACATTAACATCTAGTTGGCTCCAAAATAAGAGTCTTGGACACAAGTAGCCTGTCTCAGAAGATTATTGTTACCCCCTTCTTTTTCTGTAATACTGAGACTGATGATATGTTCTTGTCCAAGTCTGACAACTCACCTACCACAGATGACTGATGTCTTGCTATAAATGGAGCTGGCATTTACTGGCACTAGTTTGAGTTCACTAGTCCTGTAACTTACTAGGAAGTATAGATCAGCCCTAAACTGCAGGGTTTTTAAAATCTGTAATGATTTGCCCAACATTTCCCACCACATCTCTCCTTTCTATCACAGTCATAGTTTGCTTGCCACACTCTTTATCACCACCCACTGATTTTAAAGAGGCAACGTCTGGCATCTAACTATCAATCACGGAGTTTCCTGCAAAGCCATGACTCCTTCCAACTTTATTATTATTATTATCACTCATATCATAACCATATTCAATACTTACAAGCCTCACACCTCTCCTAAGGAAGCAAACACTAGCAAGCCACTTTAACTGACCTTTTAAAATTCCTGAAAAATGATGGTCCAAGCACCGTAAACCAACTAGAATATCAAATCCACATTCCTACTGTACAATAGGTATAGTAAACCAACTAGGGAATTACGTCTGCATTCCTACCCTATGCTGTATTTCCAGAGCCACTTTCCAAGGAACATGCATTTCTCCCATACTTCCATATTCTCATGTCAGGGGAACTTCTCCTACATTCTTGACTCTACTCAGGAAAATAATCACTGCAATTGTCCTGATTGCTCCAAAAGCATAAAAGAGCAGACAGATTAACCACAAAATCTTCTCCAATATGTTTGCACTCTTGAATTATATCACTTGACTGACATCTAGAAGAACAGTTATAATAACAAAATAATTTCAGAAATCAATAACTGTTAGAAGTAACCTATAAGAGCTAGACACTTCTTTTATTTTAAATAAATATTAATAGCTAAATAAAATTAGATATATATTTAAAGACTGATTTTACTTATATTTTTACTTATATGCTGATGCTTACATGAGGTCCCCATATTTCATCTACATCTTCAATTGTTTTGATTGTTTTATTGTATATTTTAATCATCTGATTCCAACTCTGTGCAGTATTTAAACAACGGACCTGTTAAAAACATAAGCACACAAAACTTAATCAAAAAAAGAATTCTCAGAATAGATAAACTCTGAGATTCTGGTAACCACATATATATTTAGAATATTACTCTATTTTCTGAAGATTATTTGAATTTTTGTTACAGGTAGTCCTCACTTAACAATCATTTGTTCAACAACCATTCAAAATTATGAAGGCCCTGAAAAAATGGACTTGTAACTGGACATTGAACTGACAACCATCAGGACATCCCCACAATCATATGAACGTGTTTCGGGCATTTGAAAACCATGCAACATTTACATAGCACATAGTTTGAGGCCTGCTGGCACTGGGCTTCAATCTAACTAGCATGGAGCTTATTGCAGTGCAGGCTTGGGACAGCACTCTTTGGCACCAATAGCCAGGAGCTGGAGAAGAGGCCTGAGAGCAGAATTGATGGGATCAGGAGAGGGGGGCCTCTTTGAGCAATGTTTTTAGTAGCTGTCTTGGATTAATGTTTCTAGTTCTTTGAAGCAACAAAACATTCTCCATGTGGAATGTGGCTTCTGATAAGAAGCAGTTCAAACTGGCCAAGAAAGAAAATTGTGCAAAGATTTGAACTTTAGTAACTTGTAAACTCATTATATTCATTATAATATGGGAAACGCAACTCCTGAATATAACAATGAGTATTTAACAAGACCATACTAAAATATTATATGATGCTATGAAATGTTATATGGTACGTATAAAGCTACTGAACATGCTTGCTAAATCATAGATGAGTCAAGTGATGCTAAACAATGAAAGAATACATTCCAAATCCAATATGTTTGAATTGTACTGTATATAAAGTGATTTCATACCTTTCTAAAAAGCCCTTTACCTTGTATCTGTGAGGATCTGTAATTGTTTATGCATAAATAAAGAAATATCCATCTACCTTTTCAGCTCAGATCCTATTTAGGCAAAGGTACATCAGGCTAACAAATCTTGCTGGCATTTACAGCTAACAGAATCAGTGGACTGAGGTTGTTGAAGACCCTAGGCCTTTACTTATCCTAGTGCTATTGACACTGGCACCACGCTGAGTGCCCTGTCAAGCCCTATGCCATAGCAAGCTTTGTGCCAACCAGTGGCAAGCCCCAGTGTTGCAACATGAACCTCTGGCATCAGTGATCCCAGTGGAGTGGAGGAAGAAACAACTGCGCCAAGGAGGAGCACAGAGAGGAAGATCTGGGGCTCATCGCTAAGGGGAACAGTCAGATGATGTTTTATTTAACAACTGTTTTGCTCAGCAACAAAGTTGTTAGTCCCAATTAGGTTTGTTAAGTGAACACGTGGAGCTGACTGTGGCTCAAATCATTAAAAAGCTAAGTTCATGGCATTCAGTCCTATCATTTCCTGGCAAATAGAAGGAGAAGAAATGGAATCAGTGACAGATTTCATTTTCTTGGGCTCCAAGGTCACTGCAAGTGGTGACTGCAGCCATGAAATTAAAAGGCACTTGCTCCTTGGCAGGAAAACTATGGCAAACCTAGACAGCATAATAAAAAGTATAGACATCACAAAAGGTCTGTATAATCAAAGCAATAGTTTTCTCAGTGGTAATGTATAGCTGTGAGAGACGGACCATAAGGAGGGCTGAGGGCCGAAGAATTTATGCTTTCAAATTGTGGTGCTGGAGAAGACTCCTGAGAGTTCCTTGGACTGCAAGGAAATCAAATCAGTCAATCCTAAAGAAAATCAATCCTGACTGTTCTTTGGAAGGACATATACTGAAGTTGAAACCCAAATGCTTTAGTCACCTAATGAGAAGAGAGGACTCATTGGAAAAGACCTTGATACTGTGGTTCCCTGAAAATAAATCCTAGCTTGATTTTTCAGAGTGGGCTTAACATAATCACTAGGACCAGATGGACTACACCCCAAGGTTCTTAAGGAACTGGCAGATGTGATCTCAGAATCACTGAACTATCTCTTTCAAAGATCCTGGAGCACTGGGGAACTACCAGAGGACTGGAAAAGAGCTGATGTAGTTCCCATCTTCAAAAAAGGGGAAAAAATGGATCTACAGACTTATCAGCCTGACCTCAATACCTGGGAAGATTCTGGAAAAGATAATCAAGCAATGAATCAGCAAACACCTAGAGCCAAACAAAGTCATTACCAAAAGCCAACATGGATTTGTCAAAAACAGGTCATGCCAGACAAAACTTATTGCATTCTTTGACCAAGTGACAAAATTAGTGGACCAGAGGAATGCTGTGGACATAATTTACTTGGACTTCAGTAAGGCATTTGATAAAGTAGATCACAATCTACTACTTCATAAGAGAAAAATGTGGGTTACATGGCATCACCACCAGGATCAGAAGCTGGCTGACCGGCCGTACTCAGCATGTGGTTCTCAATGGAACTGCATTGGAGGGAAGTGTGTAGTGGGGTGCCCCAGGGCTCTGTTCTGGGCCCAGTGTTCTTAAACATCTTCATCAATGATTTGCATGAGGGGATAGATGGGGAACTCACCAAATTTGCAGACGACACCAAGCTGGCAGGAATAGCCAACACTCCAGAAGATAGGCTTAGGATACAGAAGGATCTTGACAGATTTGAACATTGGGTGCTATCTAACAAAATGAAATTCAATTGTGAAAAAAGTAAGGTTCTACATTTAGGCAAGAAAAACTAAATGCACAGGTATAGTATAGAAGATACCTTGCTCAATAGTAGTAACTGTGAGAGGGATCTTGGAGCCCTAGTGGACAATCACTTAAATATGAGCCAGCAGTGTGCTGCAGCTGCCAAAAAAGCCAACACAGTGCTAGGCTGCATTAACAGGGATAGAATCAAGATCATGTGAAGTGTTAATACCACTTTACAATGGCTTGGTAAGGCCACAATTGGAATACTGCATCCAGTTTTGGTCACCACAATGTAAAAAAGATGTTGAGACTCTAGAAAGAGTACAGAGAAGAGCAACAAAGATGATTAGGGGACTGGAGGCTAAAACATACAAGGAACAGTTGCTGGAATTGGGTATGTCTAGTTTCATAAAGAGAAGGACGAGGAGTGACATGATAGCAGTGTTCCAATATCTCAGGGGCTGCCACAGAGAAGAGGGAGTCAAACCATTCTCCAAAGCATCTGAAGGCAGGACAAGAAGCAATGGATGCAAACTAACCAAAGAGAGAAGCAACCTAGAACTAAGGAGAAATTTCCTGACAGTTAGAACAATTAATCAGTGAAACAACCTGCCTCCAGAAGCTGTGAATGCTCCAACACTTTTTAAGAAGAGACTGGACAGTGAGTTGGACTAGATGATCTCCAAGGTCCCTTCCAATGCTGTTATTATTATTATTATTATTGTTATTATTATTATTATTTAGCCCTACCCCCAAAATAAGCCCTAGTTTGGGGTGAGGTGCATGCCTAAAAATCAAGCTAGAGTGGGATGGGGGGTGGAGCTGCCCCACATGCCCCGCACTTGCTTACCGTTGCAGCAAGGCCTCCCATGCCTCAACACCTGCCTCACCTTGCCAGCCCACGTCTAAGGCCACTTGCCCAGAGGAAAGGCCTCTGCAGCCAAGACCCGAGCTCCAGATTGACCACGCAGCACCTCCTGGACACAGGGGCACCACGTGTGTCAATCCAGAGCTTGATTCTCAGCTGCAGAGGCTTTTCCTGAAAGCCTCTGACAGCGAAATGGAGGCTGGGAGCGATGCGCACAAACAGTGGTGAGAAACCGCACAAGAGGTTGGCTGGTTGGGTGGTGTTGTTGGTTAGGGTTAGCCTATCCACATTTCTTTTTATTCCATCTTATAATAAACAACCAAGAGGGGAATATTTTGAATTTCTTTTTTACACTTGCTTCAATGTCTGGACTGGGTAATGTTTTTGCAAGTCCCTCCCATGCCTTTTTTTTCACACACCTTTCCCAAAAGTACCTTTAAATTCCTTTGCATAGCACAGAAAAAGGCAAAAGACAGTTCTAGTCTCTATTTTTCCATTCATTTTTTTCTAAGCCAGTCAGGTGACTGGAGCTTTAGATATGGAACAAGTGTTAGTATTTTCTCTGCCTTTCTAAGAAAGAAAACTGATCCAAATACCTTATTTCAGTTTATCAATCTATATTATACAGATACAAAATAATAATAAAGTACAAAAATTATCAATTTACCTTTTCCATAGTTGCCCTGTAGTAAAAGTCAGTCCTCCCATTCATCTCCCACAATATATAGTTTGCCTCAACTGGTATGAGAGTCTGGTGATCCTTATACCTATATATGAAGAAGCACAGTACAGTAGCTTTTCTAAAAAGCCATAGTAAGGATCCAAGTGTATTTATCATTTGTTAACTTCTACCTCCCTTCCAATAAATCTTCTAATTTTGCTAGCATTTGTCCTTTGTCAAATGAAACTGAAAGTTTTGCACAGACCAGAGAGAACCCTCCACTGTTTTCAGGGGCATTTATGGGACAAGGGTCAAGATGACAGTTGTGACTATATGTTTGGAATCTTGTTCCTTTGTGCACATAAAAAAAAGATGTGGGTCTATAATGGCACACAGTTGTGGTCACCATCTTTTTCTCATTCTTCACACTGTTTTAGTTTTACTTACATCTCAACTTGAGGATAAAAGTCTTGAGTATAATGGCTCTGTAATGGGCAGCCATATTTTTCTATATCAAATATTACTTCCTATGGAAAAGACAGTTTAGTATGGTTAGAAAACAAAAACAAAAAACAAACAAGTTGCATCGGTTCACTAAAATAAAACAGTAATTCTTACCATGTTTCCTTTATCGCCTTTGTCTCTGAGATATTTCCTAATGTGAGAGAAAGAGATACTGAACTGTAATTGTAATATTCCAATATTAAACATCCCATTCAATATTCTCTATGCCATCTGCATTAGATAAATGACTCAGCCTTTTGCCACTTGATAAGGAATATAAGATCCCTAGGTTTTTGATGGGTGGCCAGTCATAACACAATATATTTCTGATATATATGAGAATTAATGTAGGGGATGGTTATGAAACAACTAATCATAATTATTATTACCAATAATTAACGATATTTCCAGAATATGTGTGAATGAAATGTCTATTAATATTGTATTCAGTTGCACACAGTCAGCTATGTTTAGACTGGATTTGGCATTTTTTATCCACCTACTGGTATAGGTATTTAAGGTATTGTCACAGATTGCAAATTGCTCCTAATAAAGGTACTTTTTGCAATTGACTGTGATTTTGTCCATGCTAATGGTGCTCCAGTTGTTTTGGCATTTTACTGTCCCATTACTATTGGTACTATTTTTACTTTCTTTTGCCACAATTGTTCTATCTAGGGCTTTTAGTTACATTTGAGTCTAGTCCACTATTTCAGCTGGGTATCTAAGGACTGGATTCACCCAGGTGTAATTGTTTTGATAGTATTTTCTCCACTGAATTTGGGCTTTAAGATCTTCCTCATACTCATGTATTCGCTTCTAATCTTCTTCTTGATATCAGTGTATTTGATGTTGTCAGTTTGAAGAGTGCTCAGATATTTGTAGTAATTGTTTTCATCCAGAATATTTGTTATCTCCACAGGACATCTAGATTTCTTTAGTTTTCACTATTTTTTCCCTGTTGATGGTGAGGTTGGCACATTTGTCCAATCCAAATTACATTACAATGTTTTGGCTGTATGTATAGGCAGTGTTGAGCAGCAATTTTATTTTAGATAATGTTTTTTTCATAGAGTTTAAATGCATGCTTATGTAAATGAGGTAGGATAGCCTGGCAGGTGTTTTTGTTGTTTAACAGCCATGGTCTGACTTGACAGATGAATCTGCGGAACAATAAACAAACACTAATGGTGATAGTGAGTCTCTTTGAAAATTTCCTCTTAATAGCAATAGCAATAGCACTTATATACCATCCCATAGTGCTTTACAGCACTCTCTAGGCAGTTTATAATGTCAGACTATTGCTGGGTCCTCATTTTACTGACCTCAGAAGGATGGAAGCTGAGTTAACTTGATATTAAGCTTTTCCAGTCTATCACCATTCACTAGCAACTCTGTCTTCCATTGTGTCCTTGATCTTTGCAGAAAGCTTTTGTTTCTACGATTCATATAGCAAGGAGTTGAATGCCTTCATATAATTAATCTATGCTACATTCAAGTTGATCTTCCTTCTTTTGTAATTTTCCAAAATCATCTCATTAATTAGGAGCTGATCTTTTGTTCTTGTGATGTTTAGGCAATTTTCTTTCTGCTCAGGTGAAAAGAGTTTGTTTTCAATTAGACGCTACTGGACTGCTATCACATCAGTTACAATTTGAAAGCTGTTGATAAGCAGATAATTGGCCTGTAATTGTCTGGTGCTGCCCCCTTTGTTTGATATTTCATTATTAGGTAGCTTTTGCCAGATATTAACCACTTGTCAATTTTACCTCTTGCAGTATGCTGTTAAATTGCTTAGTAATGAGTGGATGTAGACTAGTCAGATGTTTCAACCAAAAACCATGCAATTCATCTTTATCTGGTGCTGACCAATTCTTGATCTTTCTTACCCTTTTCTCCACCATTTTTGCTGCTATTACAAGTTCTTTCAGATCAGTTTTTATTTTTATCCATCTCTTTTGTCAAAGTTTCATTCTTGTTGCATGCAACCAGAACTGTGCTGTCTTCTTTGTCAGGTGTTGACTGGTTCATTGCAGTCTCTCTTGTGGTGGATTTGTAAAAACATTTCTAATCCGACTGAAATTGGAGATTCTGCTTATGGTGTGCCTTTCAAGCTTCATATCTGCTGATCTTCATGTGTATAGCTGCTAATATAGCTGCTGCTTTTTTATTTCCAGGACTTCCTTACTCTTTCTTGTTTCAAGATGATATTTCTTGAATAAGCATTCTTTGGTCTTCTTGTTCTTTAGCTTCTTTTCTTTCATCTGCTCTAGATTGCTTGCATCTAATCTCAACTTGCTGATCTTATTTTCCAGGCTGAGCTTCCATTTTGATGATGCACTGTTTGGCTTTTTTTTTAAATTAATTGTTGCTACTTTATTTGCAGGAAGAGTATAATAAATAAAGAAGCCTTTATGGTCCATTGCTACACTCAATATTCAGAATTAGAATTTAACCATTTTAAATGTTTAGCCTATATGTATATAAGCTAATACACTTCTTACCGCGGTATAGTGAAGGTATAATTCTCACATTTTGTGGGTTTCCTATGACAAAATAGAAAAAGGTGTTTATATAATTTTTTTTTAAAAAAGCATTGCCTCAACATGACTTTTAACCTTCTGTTTCAGTGTCCACAAATCACCTCTTGAGGCTAGTTGGTTAAAACTGTAAAAATGTATTTATTGATCAAATTCTTACCAGAGAGAGAGAGAGAGAGAGACAGACAGAGACAGACAGACAGACAGACGATAGACATAGAATTAAAGTACCTAACAAAATATTTTACACAATTCCCAACAAATGTAAACCTTGCTAAAACTCTAAGGGTTTACAATATTTTAAAAGGCTATGAGAAGGGTAGATTTCCCTTGAAAACATTCTCTTTTTATATATAATTTTTATTAAACAAGCTTTCAACAGAATAAAGGCAATACAAATTTTGAATTGAAGGTAAAAAGAATATGGAAAAGTAATAAAAAGTGAAAAATAAATAGAAAAGAAAGAAAAAAGAATGCAATACACTCCAACTTCTAATAAAGGGAAGGCATTTTACACGCAAAAATGAAATAAAATACAATATAAATTACACAGATAGGTGCACTATTTACTTTTAAAAGCATGTAAAAGCTTACAGAGGACAAACAAGCTAGGAGCATTCCTTACTGATGGAAGAATTCTGAATTTTTAAGTCTGATTTTTACTTTTTTTTACACTGTGGTTTTAGTCAAGTATTTGTTTTATTATGTTGTTGTAAATAGTCCAGAGTCATTTAGGTGAGATAGGCAGTGTAGAAATTTAATAAATAAATAATAAACAAACAAACAAACAAACAAGAGTTTCCACAATGTGAGAGGCTGACATCAAGAAGTCACAACTCCAGCCTTCTTCCCTCTTCATTTGGATCTGCTTCCTCAGGATGAGCTTATGAACATTGAGACAGGCTAATTCTGGTCAAGGGAAATAACTTGGCACTAAAGGAATGTCAACAACCTCTTGAAATGGGCCCAGAGACTTATTGGTCATCAATGTAGCAATGTAAGTATAGATGTCACACTCCTTAAAGCATCTCCTCCTGTCAGCAGTCAGACCGCTACATTTTGAATCAGTTGAGGTTTCATAGTCTTCTTTTAAGGGCACACCAAATAAAGTATATTATAACAGTTTAGCCATGGGTTGACAGAATCACTGTTGCAAGGATATTCCAGTCCAAATGCTTGGGAGTATGAATGTGAGTGACTGGAGGGGGAGGGCAGAGCCCTTGGCTCTTCGAGAAAGGGATTGGTGGGAAGAGGGAATGATCATCTTGGGGGATGTAGAGCAGGACAATGTATCACAGTAGTGACGGGCATGGAATGCTACAGCAGCCAGAGGGTTGGCCATTACAGATGCCCTGATGCGTAATATCAGTGATGTGTTCTGGCTCCCTGAGCTCTTCCCCAGTTCTTGGGCAGCATATTCTTGGAAGCCCTGAGGTTCAGCTGTAGCTGCTAAATGCCAGGTCAGTTAATAACAAGAAATTATTCAAGATCTCATTGAAGAGGAGAGAGCAGACCTGGCATGCCTCACCAAGACCTGGTTGACCCTGGAAGGGGGGTGGAAATCCCCTCTTGGAAATGTGTCCATCTGGATTTCAGATTTGGCACTAGCCAAGACCCCCGGGCAGGGGAAGTCGGGTAGTAGTGGTTATCAGAAAGTGGTTACCAGTAGTGGCTTTCAGGGGACTTGCTCTGCAAGTTTCTGATTGCAAGACTCTTTTTCTGACGCTGGGCTCATGGGATCAGTTGGGATTATTACTAGTATACTGGCCTCCCTGCTGTGTAGCAATCTCCCTGCCTAAGCTCTTGGAGGGCTGGTAATGGAGTTTCCCAGACTCATGGTTCTGGGAACTGCAACCTGCTATCCTGGGTGTGGCCTCAGAAGCAGCTCAGGAATTCATGACCACCATGACACCCATGGGCCTATCCCAGATTATTACAGAGCTGAGGATAATGATCACATTCCAGATTTGATTTTTTTGTCAGAGTAACATGACCTGGTGGGGGATTTAAGATTATCCCTCTTTTTCATGGTCTAATCACACCCTAGTGTCCTTGAGACTTTCATATACCACCTCCTCCACAGGGAGGCTGGACCCATTTGGTTGTTCCACCCCCCCCCCCGGTGATTGATGGACTCTCATTGGTTCCAGAGGGAACTGGGGGATATCTTGGAGGTGTTGCCACATGGTTCTGCCGAAGCCTTGGTGGTGGCCTGAAATCTAAGGGCAGCTTTGGACAGGATCACTCTTATTGCGTCCTGAGAGTGTTGCCTGGTGACCCTGTTCCAGGTCGCCTGATCCCTCCTGGATCAGGGGGGCTCAGGTGATCATCTGCAGGGCCGTGCAGAGGAGTTTGTTCAGTACCTGATGGACAAAGTAGCACAGTTTCATTCTCAACTGGATCCTATGTGTGGAGATAGTCCATGTGAGATGCCCGGGGAGAGGCCTTGCCCAATTATCTGGGAATGATTTGACCCTGTTGGCCTGAAGAAGTGGACAGAGTCTTGATGCTGTCAGTGATACCATCTATCAGTTAGATCCTTGTCCCTCCTGGCAGGTGAAAGCCTCCAGGATGGTGACTAGCAGGTGGGTTCAGGCAGTGATTAATATATCACTAGAAGAGGGAACATTTCTGGAGACTTTTAAGGAAGCCCTGATTTGCACCCTCCTTAAAAAAACCATCATTGGATCCCACTTCCCTGCACAACTTTCATCCAGTTTCCAACTTTCCCTTTTGGAGGAAGATTGTGGAAAACGTGGTGGCCTGGCAGTTTCAGAGGTCCTAAATGAAATGGATTATCTGGACCCCTTTCAATAAGGAAACAGCAGTGGTCACACTTGTCGATGATCTTTAACTAAATTGAAGCAAGAATGGCTTCCTTGTATATTACATGTCACACAACAAGGAAAACTCAGAGTTATGAACCATTTTAAATCATTTTATACCAATTTTCTCTTAAAGTTTAGTGTGGAATAAATTTTACTGGTTTTTTTTCCAAAAGTCCTTCCATTGTAATTTGTTTTTACAAAAGTTTGCATTCACTTTATCATAACTCATTTACTTGTTTTGCCTCTGTGTCATATCCTAATAGAAATATATATATATATATATATTCTAATTAGTAGTCTTGTTTCTGTATTCTGTAAATGTTTCAAATTCTGTCATTTATCTCAAAAGTTATTTTTTCTTCAGATTGCCTTTTATTTTTCCAGCAATCTGGAAAAATCCTCGCTATATTTGTGTGCTTAGTCTATTTCTAGAGTAGAAAAAGAAACAACTTACTTGCTTACAATTATTTTTTTCCATGGAGGACAACCAACACGTATGTGAGAAAGCTAGGAAAAAACACAGTTAAAACATCCACATATTTACAAAAACTCTGTCAAAGTAGTTGCTGTATGACCAAATGTTGTCTGTTTTCCTTTTTAAGTCATGCTATGTCTTGTTTTGATTTCAAAAAGTGTCCAGTCTATTCTTTATAACTATGGAGTTTAGTATGTGTAAGCAGTAATTTGAGAGCAAAAAATGGTGTTCAGAGAGAATCTCTCCATATTTTATCCCCACAATATTATGAATTAAGTTGGGTTGGTAGGGAATGATAGCCCAAGATTGAGTTTCTTGATTATATGGCTAATATAATCAATAGTTTAATTATCGTATTGCACTGTCTTCTCTGGTTTTGTGAGATATTGAAGCCACTTGCACATTTTATTATTGTTAGGAAATAATGAGGATGTAGCTATTAACACTTATGACACTATTTATTAGAGCTAGAAGAGAATATGACCAGTTGCTTACCACTATAATTCATATGGCATTTGGATTTGAGATGTGCATATGCCCAGAGTTTCATTCAGAATACTTCTATAGCTAAGAAAAAGTTTTTGTGAGCCTATTCCTCATACACACCACCAAAGGTACTGGTTCCCATTTCTTATGCAATTCAATCTTTCAAATGATAATAAAAACTAAACATGAAGTAGAATTGCAAGTACTCCGACACCTATAGAAGAAAAGGAAAATGGATAGCATGACTGCATAGGTGGCCATTTGAACAGTTACAATTACAAGTGTGGCTCTGAGCATTCTTACACAAAGGCTGAATAGCAAGCTCATTTGCAGAAGACATGATAAAAAGCCAGAGAACTAAACATAGACCTTTCAAAGAAGGAGTTGGTCACCTTGTAGTGATGTTTATTCAATTCTGGCAGACAAATATTGAAGGCTGTATCTATATAGCTGTTTAGCACAGGCTACTACAACTGTATAAAAGAGGGATGGAAGCCACTACTAATTTTTATTGCAGACATTAATAATTCTTATTTTAAGGGAAATAAAATATGTAAAACTGAGAATGAACTGTTATCTTCATAATTCTCAATGATGATCACAAATGCAAGTTTATTGTATTACTCCGCTGATAGGAGCCAGGATTTCTACAATATAGCTTGTTCACACACAAACACACAATCCAGCTGAAGATAAATATCAAAACAAGGGGATATAAAAATCTTCTTGAAAAAAAAATTTCTTTGAAGAGATACCTAAAGATGGAAATAATAAGCTCTTAAAATATTACTTAACATTGAAGGTTTAATGTGATGGGCTCCGATGATCTAGAAACAGACACAAAGAATGTCTGTTTACTTGACTGTGGTACTGATAGATGGGGCTTAGAACATTAACACGGAGACTGGAAAGCTTTCTATCTAGATGAGGACTATTGTCAAATGTGTGACTGATGATGGGTGCCAACTTCTAAAAGTAGCTCAGGTTTGTCAAAGACAAACTGAATTGGGAGAACATCAAAAACATCGACAATATTCAGCCTAAAATGGATTCTGATATGTAACAAGAGAGTATGAGCCTTCTAGTGGAAATTCAATGTTTTCTCACTCTAGTGCTGACATATTTGTCAACAGGCTGGTGTATTCCGAGCAATAAAATCAGATATAAGGCTTTAATTTTTTAGGCTCCATGTATAAAAAGATAAAAATGTTCTGATATATATAACCTCTGAGAAAAAGATAAAAGGCACCCATCATAAAGCATCATTTTCTACAATAACAATATTTTTTGGGGGGGAAATCCCCACAAACTGTTAACACAAAGTTTTCAAAGACAAAGGGGGAAAAGGATGAATGGAGAAAAATTATGAGGGTTGTGCACGTACTTTATTTGTATTTATTTAACAAATTCATATGCTGTTTATCTCGCTTTCCTTTTAGCTTAAACCTAGGTAACTATTAATTGGAAGCAAAAATATGAAAGTCATAATTATTGAACCTGTGGTGGGCTTTTTGTCATTTTTAAAACTTTAGCCCAACTATAGAAGTTAATTAACTTAAGCTTTATGCACAAAGATAATTATTTATGCACAAATGCTTGCACAAAAATAATACCGAAAGTCAGTAAAATACTGTAAGTTTTCTTCAGAAAGAAGTAGAGCTACTCAGAGAAACTAATCAAGAAATCTCAGATCATTTCAGAAGTAGAACGTACATTACTGCTTACTGATTATAGTTTACAGGCTGTAAATGCAACAGATTTCTTTAATAAATATCATTGTGAAAATTGAATTGACCAACCCCAGGTGTCATTTCAATTATAGTAAAAGAATAATAAAAATAATTTTTTTTCTTTATAAAATGCAGAATCTTTCCTTTTTTTTATAACCACTAACGAATAGTATTGAATTCCTCCAGCCTCTTCCTATTACATTACATGGGATTTTAAATTCATCTGTAATTTTGTTGGTTAACATACCTGGCTTTTTGATAAGCATGTTTTTCCAGATTCTGAAGGCTGAAATTCAAATGACATGATGCCCTGAGATAATGCTCTACATATAAAAGAACACATTTGAAAAAAAAAGAAATCAGATATTATAATTCACTGCATTAGAAGGTATATTTAGTATTTAGTATATATAAACACAGACACATAAACATTCTGCATGCATTTTTCTATTTTCATATTACTAGTAAACTAACCTATCTACTATTACAAACTCAACTTTCAGAAAAAATTTAAAAAAAATTGAAAATGCTCCTTTTCCTCATAAACTGAGTATTCAACATGCATATCTATAAAATTATTCTATGATTATATATTTGATACTAATATGTGAGAGAAAATATTCTCAACTGATACCTAACAATACCCCACAACCTTTTAAGTTTAACTAGCTTATTTATTTATTTATTTATTAAAATTTATAGACCGCCCCACTCCCGCAGGACTCCAGGCGGCAGACAATAAAAACACAATATAACTTAACAAAACAAACAATACAGTAACATTCATCCAGGGGTCAGATTTTATAAACCCCAGGCCTGCTGGAAAAGCCAGGTCTTAAGCAGCTTGCGGAAAACCAACAGGGTGGGAGCGGTCCTAATCTCCGGGGGGAGCTGGTTCCAAGACGTGGGCGCTATCACAGAGAAAGCCCTCCCCCGTGGCCCCGCCAAATGGCATTGCTTGGCCGACGGGACCTGAAGGAGGCCCAGCCTGTGGGATCTAACCGGACGAAGGGAACTATGAGGTAGTAGGCGGTCTCGCAAATAGCCTGGCCCTGAGCCATTTAGAGCTTTAAAGGTAATAACCAACACCTTGAATTGGACCCGGAGACCAATAGGCAACCAGTGCAACTCGCGGAGGATAGGTGTAACGTGGGTGTACTGAGGAACACCCACTATCACTCATGCGGCTGCATTCTGGACCAACTGTAGTCTCCGAATACTTTTCAAGGGTAGCCCCATGTAGAGCGCATTGCAGTAGTCCAGACGTGAGGTGACGAGGGCATGAGTGACTGTAAGGAGAGCCTCCCGGTCCAGGTAGGGTCGCAACTGGTGCAACAGACAAACTTGTGCAAAGGTCCTCCCAGCCACAGCCGTCAAATGATGTTCCAATTTCAGCTGTGGATCAAGGAGGACACCCAAGTTGCGAACCCGCTCCAAAGGGGGTATATTTTCCCCTGCTAGAGTCAACACTTGACAGTTAACATGATCCTTGGGAGGCAACATCCAAAGCCACTCGGTCTTGTCAGGATTGAGCCTGAATCTGTTAACCCCCATCCAGACCCTCACGGCTTCAAGGCAACGGCCCATCACATCAGCCGCTTCACTGAGAGAGCTCGGGGAAGAGATATATAGCTGGGTATCATCAGCATACTGATGAAACCTCACCCCATGCTGTCTGATGATCTCACCCAGCGCTTCATGTAAATGTTAAATAGGAGGGGGGAGAGGACCGACCCCTGCGGCACCCCACATTCAAGGGGCCTCGGGGTTGACCTCTGCCCCCCCACCAGTACCAATTGCGACTGGCCAGACAGGTAGGAGGAGAATCACTGTAAAACGGTGCCTCCCACCCCTCCAAGTCATCGCAAAAGGATACCATGATCGATGGTATCAAAAGCCACTGAGAGGTCTACACAAGATAATAAACAGATAAAATCTTAGTATCAGAACTGACAATTTCAAAAAACCAGGAGAGAAACATTTCAGTTATTTCTCTAACCTCAAGGTGACTATCTTAAAAAAAAAAGATAAAAATCCATTTCATGGTGAAATAACAGGGGTAGAATTCATTATAAATTTAACACAATTTCTTATGGATTAAACAAAGGACTATAATGCCTTTCTCTCTGTCTGCATTGCACCTAAGAGCTACATGTTGAACTTTTGTCATTCTAGCTAACTTTCACCTTTCATTTTACTGTTCCTCCCTTTCCCCCCCCCCACCAATAAGAGGTATATGTATATACATTACTTTCTTTTCTCAGATCTTAAATTCACTTATTTGATGAACATAATCCACAAAAGCTTAAGTAACAATGTCCCGGATAGTCCTTAATGTATCATAAAATACTTTTTTTTTGAACAAGACTAAACATGACCATCGCCTTGGCTCCTATGTGATGACACTATTTTATTTTATTGGAGATCCTGATTCTAAATATATTTTCTTTAATTTCTATATGCCTTCTTTTCTCTCTCACTCACTTTTTTAAAAAATATTTTGTTATATTGTTATAAAATATGCAAACTAGATTACAGTGACAATAGTAACTGAGACCAGAATTTCTGTCACTGAACAATGTAGTCGTAAAGCTTGACATCACATGACTATATCACTTCGTGATGGCAATTCTGGCAATCTCTGTTACTATAATTAAGTGAATCAGGTGAATCAAGTGGTCATCAGGTGACAATACACCCCAATCTATCCTAATCCCAGTCCCGAGCTTCGGTAAGGTAAGGAACTATCTCCTCTGCCTCCTCTTCAATTCCCCCACCTAGTTATTTATCCCCCTCCATATCTGTCTTTCTGGCCAGCCTGCACAGTGACAGTCTTCAGTGGTAGCAACACTGAAGCGGAGTGAAACAGAGACCCAGGGCCTTCACTAGGTTCAGCTCAACCCCAGCACATTTGCATTTTCTTTTTCTCCAAGTTCATTAATGTCAAATTGTCCAGTTTATCATTTCTGGCTCTTCTGCTGGGATTCAATATGTGGTTGTTGACTTAAAAATCTAAATTTGATATTTACTTCATTCTTCTTGCTGCCTTAAAGAGCAAACAAATAACATAACTAGATCTATAGGAAATATATATGCAATATTCAGATCTCCATTTTCCTTCCAAATATTCTTTCTAAATATAAAGTAGTGCCGAATAATAATCAATACAAAGCGAGAAACAATATCTCTAAGTAATGAATTATAAATGGATATCAACTTTATGTACATCAATGTGCAAATCAATTCAAGCTGGAGCCAAAATTAAAACAAATTCTAAAAATTGATGATTAGTAACTAATGTGAGACCTATAAAGATTGGGATTAAATCGAACAGCTCATGGCAAACCTCAGAAATTCTTATTTTGTCTGGGAATACCTCTGGTTGAAGATAAGGCTCTGTTTACCCTTGGGAATAAAATATATCTAGGAGGATAAGGGGGAACATGTTGTCCTGTTGGTGGACTTGGGGAAACATATGTTATTTAAAATCCTTGAGTAACAAGGCTTGAAATATTTGTTAGGAGTTGCCTTCACTTTGTTGTACTTAGAATTCATTTATTTATTTAGCAAATTTGCAATATATAATTTATTTATTTAGTAAATTGTTTAGCAAAGTTTTTAAAATCTTCTCCTCAAAATAGAACAAGCCAATCTGCATCTTCATAAAATTATAATCTCCTGTCATTACAGATTTGACAGCTCTTGCAACCAGTATCTACCAGTATCTGCCACATGCTCTGGTAGCTGAAAATGTGTCGTAAAACCCATTGAAATCTGTACAGAAGAGTAGTATCTCTAACTTTTGGGAGATAAGCAGGCCTGTTTCTTGCACAAAAAAGACAAAAATATAAAATAATAAAGTAAAATAGACTTAACAAGTAGATAGGCAATCTTTGCAGGAAACTGGGTCCATTGGTACTTTTTATCCCCTACAGAGTATTTCAGCATCAGCGATAATCAAAAGCCCATCATGTTTATTAAATCGTTAATAGAATTCTCCACAAGCTACCTGTAAGCTTTTAATTTTCTCGCTTTTTCCTGTCCCTCCTTTTGGAATCCCAATAATTAACAAGAATAAGCTAAACCCTGGCCTGGATCCTATGAGCCTAGAATATAACACTATAATACTGGAATATGTTAAAAACAAAATGCACTGACACCCTTGAATAGTGTATTGATTCTGAATTCTGAATTCTTCTTTATATTATATATTTATATTAATAAATTCTAACTTACATCTGAGTTCGATAATCAGACAGTTCTGAATAATCCCTTTCATGATAAAACGTTACAGTCTGTGAGGAACAATGGATAAATGCATAAGTAAACTAGACTATAATACCTTCCTCTGAATTTCTAATCAACATATATTAGGAGAAAATTGCATAAAGCATATATGAATTCTTTATTTTATTTTATTTATTTACTTATTTACTTTGTTATTTAGTTTATATGCCACTCATCTCACTATCCAAAGTGACTCTTTGGATTCTTGTTGGTTTAAGGCAAGCAAAATATAAAACTTGATTAATAAATAAAATATAGATAACAAGTTACATGAGCTATATCAAATATATAATTTATATGTGCTTCAACTCAGTATGTCTTCTCCAACAGATATAGAATTGTATCTTATCTGACTATTATTTTAAAATTAAATATTGATTTTTGAAATGAGTCACAGCAGAACAGACCTTTCTGATCTTGACTGATCTTGAAAAGGCTAGGACAGATTCTTGTGCACACGTGCAAATAGCCTCATGTAACACGTATTGTCTGAATGCAATCACTAAGTGCAGGATTCAAAGGCTGCACTTGAATTTTTATTTTTTTAAATGCATTACTGGTCTTATAGAGTGATCTGCAAATATTCTTAAAATATTTTATTGTTTTAATCTGTGGACTTTTGACCACTGACTTTTGTATTGAAGTGTTTAGCTATAGATGGAAAATATTTTATGGATTTATTTTGCAATCTTGAAGTGTAGGTTATCTTTTCCGTGTCTGATATTTCCTGCACATTTTTCTCCACCTGAGTTAAGTCATAATTCCTTCCATTGTTGGGTTTCAGTTGTCTGTTTTATCTGATTGCTCTCTGTTTTTATTTTCTGAGAGTTTTTTTGTTTTAAGGTTAAACTGAAGATATGTTAACTTATATTTTCAAAGTTGTTTTTAATTTCCTTGTGGTTTAAAATCATTGTAGTTTGAATTAGTTGCAACATAGCATACATTTCCTCCTGGAAAGTATTTGTTTTTTCTTGATATGTTCTTTCTGCAGATCTCTGAGGTTCCATGATAGCCAAAAATCAAAGTTTCCCTTTCTCTGCAAACATCTTTAGAGTCACAGTTCAATAGGTATTTATAATCCAGGAAGGTTAATTTTTTTCCCCTAAGGTTTATAATTCTTGCCTTGTAGATAGCCCAAAATGTTTTCTTTGTTGCAGCTGTTCTCTATTTAGTTAAGACATTGAAAGTCACAAAAACAGATTATCTTTTTCTGGGCTTACTGCCAATTCCTGTATTAGAGCAACTACAGTTGTATATTTTTACCCACCACAAGATGTCAGTACCAGTTCATTTTTCAGTTTTCAAAACAAACAATTACTTTCTTCTGTTTTCATCAATAATTTTTTGAAAAGAAAATCTTAACAAATTCCACCCATTTCAAACTTATTCAGATTTAAGTCTTATATTAATTTCATTTCAATATATTTCTGTCCCCCATAAAAGTTTAATTTGCTGCTTCCTTCTGTGGGAGGATGGGGCAAGAGTCTCCTTCTTTCTCACTTTTGAGGAATTTTTGTTTCTTGGGTTTTTTTCCCCCAGGAAATCAATTATCAAACAGAAGAGAAAATTGATATTCTTACCCAGTTCCAAACACGTTGTTTATAATCAAGCTTAAATTAGTGCTTTTTGGCTTTGGCTGCTTGTAGCTTGCGCTAGACTCTGGAGTGAAGGCTATTTCTTCTTCTGGTTTCTGCAGGGCTTTCCCCAAACAACCGGATTGACTGCTGTCTCTCTGTGGTTGGCGGGGCTCCCTTCCTTCTTTGTTGCCTCTCTGGGGTGACTTTAGGCCCATTTAGGGTCCCCTAACAGGGAAAAAATCAGCTGTATGGTGTGGAGCCCCGCAATCCGTAGGCTGCTGCACTACTGTGCAAAACCGGAAGCGGGAAAAATATTCGACAAAATGGATTATAGCGCTGTGAGGAGAACAACAAGAACTTGAGAGACAAAAAATGATAGGAGAAATTAAAGAAGAAAGAAAGAAAAAGATTTTCAATGAACAGGGAGGGGTGAAACCCTCTCAAAAAAAATCATCTTACTGGATTTGTCTCTTGTACTTACAACAACATCTATATTCTACAGGACTATGAGAAGACTTTTTGGTCCAGCGGAGCATACAGATTAAGAAAGATGTTTCACAAAAAAAAAGCTAAATCTAGAATTAAGAAATTAGATGATGGGATTTATCAGATGCAATATCTAAAGATTAAACAGTTGTTTGAATATGGTTTAAAAATAGAAAAATTCTGGATATAAATGTATTTTAGTTTAAGAGGGTTGGGCCCCTCAAGTAACATAGTATTTTTTTATCATATAAGAAATATAACAATGTTGGGATAGTTTATATGAGGGAAATGTTTTATACACTTAAGTGTAATTAATCTTGAGAAAATCTCAATTGATAAAAATATTCTGAATAGACTCAAAAGATTAGATGATTGGATTTATTAGATGGAATATTTAAAGATTAAACATTTGTTTGAATATGATTAAAAAATAGAAAAATTCTGGATATAAGTGTATCTTAGCTTAAGAGGGACATGTTTCTCAAGTAGTATACTATTTCCTTCTTTTTTTCTTTCTTTTTTGTTGCTTTTTTTAAGATATGAGAAATGTAAAATTGCTGGGTTTGCTTGTATGAGGAAAAGACTTAAATATATAAATGTAATTAACTCTGAAAAAATCTTAACTGGAAGAATGTTTTGAACATTGCAGGGAAAACAAATCTAAATAAGAACTTTGAAAACAGGATCTATGATGAGATAATTAAGATGATCAATTACAAAAGAAGCTTTATATTGATGTGGTTGTTAAATATTAGAAAAATATTTATATTCAATTGTTATCTATCAAAATACTAAGAAATGTACTAATTCAAGGTTGGTAAAAGAGAAAATTATTGGAGAGAAAAATCAAAGAAAGCTACTATGTGGATTATGGAATTATAGAAATTAATTGCTATTGATTGTTTTTAAATATAAACCCAGACAATATGCTGTTTACCATATATTAACTTATATGCAGAGCACATCATGAGAAAGGCAGGGCTAGATGAATTAAAAGTTGGAATTAAGATTGCAGGGAGAAATATCAACAACCTAAGATATGCAGATGATACCATTCTAATGGCAGAAAGTGAAGAGGAACTAAAGAGCCTCTTGATGCAGGTGAAGGAGAGTGCAAATTAAGAAAACCAAGATCGTGGCATTCGGCCCTCTCAATTCCTGGCAAATAGATGGGGAAGAAATGGAGGTAGTGACAGATTTTATTTTCCTGGGCTCCAAGATCACCGCAGATGGGGACTGCAGCCAAGAAATTAAAAGACGTTTGCTCCTGGGGAGGAAAGCTATGGCAAATCTAGACAGCATACTAAAAAGCAGAGACATCACCCTGCCAACAAAAGTGCATATAGTCAAGGCCATGGTTTTTCCAGTTGCAATGTAGCAATGTATGGTTGTGAAAGTTGAACCATAAGGAAGGCTAAGTGCCAAAGAATTGAGGCCTTTGAACTATGGTGCTGGAGAAGACTCCTGCGAGTCCTCAAGACTGCAAGGTGACTGGAGAAGAGCCTAATGCTGGGAAAGATTGAGGGCAATAGAAGAAAGGGATGACAGAGAATAAGGTGGCTGGATGGAGTCACTGAAGCAGTAGGAGTGAGCTTAAATGGACTCCAGAAGATGGTAGAGGACACGAAGACCTGGAGGAACCTTGTCCATGGGGTTGCGATGGGTCGGACACGACTTTGCAACTAATAACAACAACACAAGGTGACTATGTTAAAAAATCAATAAAATATATTAAAAAATATTTTATGGAATAAAGCATAGCATATTTAATATCTATGTGATATTACATACCATATCATTATATGCTGTTTAATAAGCAACCTTTACAGAGTTCCTTGTTTGTATTTTTTTCTAAATTCTAATGTCTGGCTTTCTTTCTAGTTTACTGTATTTCTGATTGCATAATGTGATCTGCACAAAATTTTCTAATAAAGTTAAACAAAAGATTAAGTTTGAATGGAAGATGGGAATTTCAGGAAAAAATATAGGAAACATAAATGCCCCTTTAGTCAGTCTGGTTCATATAAGAACAGTAACAAAAAGTAGAAAATAATTATACTGTATATAGAAAGAAAGCTGACTAACCTTATTTTTAGTGCAGATTCCACGAGCTATTTCATAATTGATAAGGTCTTTAGTCTTCAACAGTTCTGGCCTGTAAATTTCAACATCCACTGATAAACCATTATTTTCTAAAAATACTATCTGACCCCAAAATGTCACTTTGTCTCCCATGTCTACATAACGAATACCGAGATTCAAATTTTGTTCAAATGATATATATGGGCAAACGTCGTTCAATTTTGATGCAGCACTAAGCACTTCCAATTTCAATGGATATACCTGGCGGCTTATATTTGTGCCATTGATTGTCATTAAATATATATCTGCAGAAGGATTAAAAAAGAATATAAACTTTTTATCATTACTTTCCCAAGCAGTAAGCTTTATAACATCTGTCACTTCAAATTTGAAGAAAAACAGAGCATTATTTTTCAGCTTTATTATGGCATTTCCACTGTAATCTGGAAAAGAAAAAGAATACCATGTTAAGTACATTTCTAGACAAATAAAATTATTTCATATAAAATATTAATATCTTGATACTGTAATTTCAAATATATTCAAACTAGAATAAGCATTACTGTGTAGGAACTTACTGTTCAGTAAACATTCATGATTTTGATAAACATAATGTCGTTTAGTCTATCTACAGTTACTCCAAATAAATCTCATTATTCTTACTTATTTCATTTCCCACTTTCTTTTTAAAAAAACTCATGGTAACATATTCAATTCTTTTGATTGTCATAAGTCTTGGAGGCATACTAAGTTGACAAAAGTTTCATTGGCCACTTTACACAATAATTTTCTCAGCTGAAAATAGGGTCATTTTGGTTTTTCAGCTTTTAGTACTTCACACATTTATTTTTAATATAAAGATAACTATTTTATTCAGTGATACTATCAGAATATAGTTCTCATTTGAATGCCAGATAGTCACAAAAAAATTGCTGTCTGACGTGTCTCTCTACTCTGACAAAAGTCTGATACCATGCCAGAATAAATCTCTTGTCTTTATCCTGTCTCACTTTATTATTCTGCCTAAATTACATCATTTTACTCTGCTAATTGAAAGACCAGATTTAGCTTCCCCAGTGAATTCTAGGAGATTAAAGTTCCATAGAAGATCATCCCCTCTCCTTCCTTTCTATCACAGTTGCTGAAACATCTGGAATTCTGGAAGCCATCTGTTAAATAGGGGCTTACATTCTTCGTCATCCAGCCAGATTTCAATTCAGTTCTCTTCACTCTTCCACGGCCAAGCCAACCAATGGTTCTCTCTTGGTCCCTTTATTCACCATACAGCTGCAGCAGCCCCCACTCACTCATAATCACCTTCTCAGCTCTCTTCTCCTTAGGGCCATACAGCTCTCTTATTGACTAAGTACTTCAAACAATCTCCTGTGACAACTGCACTGCACTTTTCACACAATTTAAAATTTTGTTATTACAGTATTCATTACATCTCTAAAAAGTTTGAGACTTTGCTGTTTGAAGGGTGATCAGTTCCATTTTATATTTCTATTAAAACACAGAATACTTAACCAATAATAATTTGATGAATTGCAGATCCTTCAGACACTGCTGAAAATTTGTTTTTTGTACCAGATTCATGAAGATAACCATAGTGTCTATGGTTTTTGTAAGTATAGAAAACTGTGTCATCATCCCACAATACCATGGATGTTAATACTGAAAGTGTGACTTCCATATGAATGGCACCAACAGTGGGCAAACCTAGGGTAAAGTCTCTCAGGATCCATTCAGCTGTATCTTCTTTATAGGCAGCTAGGTATAATATCTTTTTGCTTGTACAGCCAGTGCATTCTAGCAATATTGCAATTGTAGCAGAAAGTGAGTCATAGCAAGCAGATACTATTAATAGATTAACAGTTCTTTGTAATTTTAATTTTTCTCTTAACAGTCCTACAGCTATCAATGGATGAAATTCATTCTCAGGATATCCAAGAAAAACTTCATCTTCTGACCATATAATTATTTCACTTAATTTTCTCTCCTGAAGGAAAACAAAATTATGAAAATAATATTCCAAACTCTACAAAATAACAATAAAATCGAAGATTGCAATGTTTATAAAATATTCATTAAAATTAACAGTATCATGAATTAATATATTTGCAACTTATACAAGGGCAATCAAAACCAGAGAAAAACAGTATAACCTCCCTGTCAGAATCCAGTTACAGTATATTTCATTTCTATCTATCTTCTCTGATATAAAACCAATTCTTACTCTCTCCTGGATTCTGTCATACTACTAAGGGGGAGGGGGTATGCATGGGTTTTTTTATTACTTTCACTTCCTCTGTTCACTACAAAGTAAACCTTTGTTGATTTGCTTCGGATCTGTTAACCATAACAATGTAGCCATTTGCCTTTCATCCTATGTCCCTTTAAACTTCTCTCTGCTATCTCTCCTGGAGTTGACACCTAGAAATCTGCCGGTTTGAATCGCCCGGAAGAACTGCGGGATGGGGAGCTGCTTAGAGACATTTAAAAACATTGAATTGTAAGGGGATCCCTCAGATCCTGTCTATCATGCCAGCTATCAGTTTCTTTTAATAAAAGTTCCTGTTGGAAGAGACCGTTTCTAAGAATTCTGCTTTCTTAAAATGTGGATTGAAATGGGTCCTTACACTCACCTAACTCAAACATCCATGTCAATGAATTACTGTTCTAATAAGAAAAGGCATTTCCCTAATCGAGAAAATGTAGTCACGTTATCTTCATTATAACATGTTTGTTTAGATTTTTGTTCTATGTATCTTTAGTTCTATATATCTGCATTTTGGTTCTACGTAACTATCTTGTTCTCTTTTATCTTCAATTTACATTGTTATATAACAATCTGTGTTGTTATATAGATTAATTATTTCATACTAGAACAGGTACACCAAGCAATGAGAATATTTTAATAAAAAGAAATCCATATGTAATAGCATATAAACTCTTACACAGAGAGAACCACAAATGTGAACCAAGCAGACCATGAGAAGAAAAGCAATTTTATATTAGCATAATTGTAATTTTCCTTTTTTAAAAATTCTGGCATCAGTACATTCACAAGTCTGGCCAGCTGTATGTTCAGAAGGTAATCAAACCGCAATTTTAGTAGAACATCACTTTTACAAATATGAATTATTTGTTTTGAACTAATTTTCAATAGCTTCAGTTAATAACTTTTCATATCAGTAAATCTGAACTCCAGTCTATCATGGATGAACCATGGCCATCTACAGTAAACTGTATATATTTTTTGCATTAAATACAGGTACTAAAACAGATTCTCTTGCAAATACTTGTCAAGATTTCAATATATTATTTTATTATTATTCAAAGTACTGATCAGACCACCCAAATCTATACTACTACATTCTGGGCAGTATACCTACAGTAAGCACTTTCATTAGGGACTAAAAATAATTCTCAAATTATATACATACTAAATAATAATTCTCAAGAAGGACAAAATATTACTATATTCTAGCCATTGACCAAGCTAAGATAAGTGCTTGAACAAGTAGAAAACTAAATCTACCTTTCCTGATCAGTAATTATAACTTGCACAATGAAAATCTCACAGGTTGCCCTTGCCAGAGAAATCTATTCAATATCCTGTACATTTGTTCCAATTTAGTACATTATGATGTAATAAATGTAGGAATGCTGCACATTCAGCCTAATCTCATTTACTCTAGTCATTAGAATATGTAACTCTCCCTCTCATGCATTTCTTTCCATTACATCTTTTCTGTGGTTCTATACAGAGAGAGCTTTCCCTTGAAGACCTGAAAACTAATATATTAATGAAAGATAAGGTTGAAGGCTGGCATAAGACAGTTGGCCTATATCATAAAGGGTTAATAATAACAACAACAACAACAATAATAAAAAGTTGGAAGGGACCTTGGAGGTCATCGAGTCCAACCCCCTGCTCAGGCAGGAAACCCTATACCATTTCGGACAAATGGCTGTCCAATCTCTTCTTAAAAACTTACAGTGTTTTTGATGTAACAATCTTGAAGTTCCTATGTGAAAAGATGCTGGGGAGAATGCAAAAGGCTCAAAGAAGCCAATGCTAGATCCCATATCAGAAATCAGATGATTGCCAGACTATTGTATAAGAGTATGAGAATGTAAGCTAGTTTGGATCAAATGAGATTGTACTTTGAAAAGATAAAAGACTTGGACTATGGGCATCAAGTCAGACAATTTTGTCGCACTGCTGTACTCCAGACACCTACCCACTCTTATCAGCTGACAATCACTTAGATATGAGTCAGCAGTGTGCTGCAGCTGTCAAAAAAGCCAATGAAATCCTAAACTGCGGTAAGAGAGGGGTAGAATTGAGATTACATGAACTATTAGTACCGCTGTATAATAATTTGATAAGACCACACTTGGAACATTGCATCTAGTTTTGGTCACCCCAATATAAAAGAGATGTTGAGATTCTAGAAAGACTGCAAAGAAGAGCAACAAGGATAATTAGACGTCTGGAGGCTAAAACATATGAAGAACAGTTGCAAAAATTGGGTATGTCTAGTCTAATGAAAAGAAAAACTTGGGGAGACAGGATAACAGTGGTCCAATATTTGAGGAGCTATCAGAAAAAGAGCCAACCTACTCTCCAAACCACCAGAAGGCATGACAAGAAACAAGAAACAATGGATGGAAACTAATCAAGAAGAGAGGCAACCTAGAACTAAGAAGAAATTTCCTAACGGTGAAATTATTCTGTTATTTGGATTTTCAGACTGGCCATCTGACAACCTACCTGCATATTTGTAACATTCTTGGGACTTAAATATCTGAATTCCTTGTATTTTTTTTTCTAAATGCCTCTATTAAATTTCTGAATACATATTGTAGTAGGGTTTTTCTGCTTATTTAGAATTGTCTGCATGATGCTAACTTAACATAAACTAATTAAAATAGCATCTCATATGTTAATTATCAGGATATGCCATTATTACAGAGATTATATAAATTGGTGACATTTTTTTAACTGCCTATGCATGTTAAGAAGATGCATATGAGACTCACGTTTAAGATGAATAGCACATTAATCCACAGTGGAGATAAATCCGTAATAAATCTATGGTCTGTTGAGATGGTGTCTTGTTGCAGCTTCTAATTCCTTTCCATACTGCAGGGGTCCCCAGCCTATGGACCGTGGCCCAGTACCGGACTGCAGGCTCTTGGCCAGCGCGTCGTGGAAATCTCTGGCCAGGGCATGCACGTGTAGGCATGCATTTTCCCCCACTCATAATAGCACCCATGACCCTGTTCATGCATATGCATGAGTGCAAATGGGGATGCTAGCATGGTGTGTGTGTGCGTGCCCCGTTTGCGCATGTGCAAATGGGCAGCTAGCATGGAGGGTTGCGCAACCCATTTGTGCATGTGTGAACAGGCACTAGCCACTGCAGGGGTGCACCGCTGTTCACACGTGTACGGTGCCAGCGCATGCCACATGTGTGAACACGTTCACTAGTACTGCGCCAGTAGGCGTGGCCCCATTTGCATGTATGCATGCACGCATGCAGTAATTTGGAAGCTGCTCTCCCCTCCGGGCTGTGAGCCCGGAAAGGTTGAAGAACTCTGCCATAGAGAATGAACTCATATGGTGCCTTCACAATATGAAAGACTTCACTGGGGCAAACCAAAGGTGTTTCAAACAGACCTATTCATCACACATGCAAAGTTGTAGGTTCCCCATCCTCTGTTAAAACATCCGTTTCTAGTTGTTGCTGCTATCTGATGAACAAAAAGAAATAATGTATAATTGTTCCCAAAATGACATAGCCGGACTATTGTATTTAGCAGTCATATGTAGTTGTATCTATTTCCCAGTTTTCTGCTAGAGGTAGCAAACATGGAATCATCTAATCTTATATTAGGTAACAACAAGGCTATGAGGTAAGGTTGGCTGAAATAAAATAATTGATCCAAACTCAACCAATGAATTATTTGTTTTGGTGGACACTTGAACCTGAGTGTCTCAGTCCTGGTCTAACACACCACTATAGCAGCGTTCCCCAATCCCCAGACTGCTGATCAATACCTGTCCATAGCCTGTTAGAAACTGGACAGTGCAAGCAGTTGGCAAGCAAAGCTTCATATGCACATGCATGGGATCTACCGTATATGCCGGCGTACAAGGCGACCCGGCGTATAAGATGACCCCTGTCTTTGTCGCCGAGTCGCATTCCTAGAACGTCATCTTATATGCCGGAAACTACCAGTATTTCCGGCGTATAAGACGACTTGGTGTATAAGACGACCCCCGTCTTTGGCGCCGATTTTAACACTTGCAGAAGTTGCCTTATACGCCGGCATATATGGTAGGTTGAATGGCAAATCCCTCCCAATCTGTGGAAAAATTGTCTTCCACAAAACTGGTCCCTGGTGCCCGAAAGTTTGGGGACCACTGCACTATAGTACAGTTACTGCATAATCACATGATTCTAGTGTACTCAAAATACTTTTTAACTGAAAATGCCAATTAGATATAATATAAAGGTCAAAAGAAAAATATAATAAGAATATCAATGTTATAATCCCAACTTCTGGTATCCTGCAGAGAGAAATGCCTCAAAACACAGATGTTTCTCTGTTGCTTAAATATGTCCAAGTCTTCTTCAGATATTTACTTATAGTATTTAAAGTAATACATGTTATAGTAGACTTAAAGTAATACATGTTAAAAATTGTAGAGCTAGGTAATCTGCACCCTGCTGCCTTTCTACCTAGCTTGCTTGCTGGCTGTCACATAAGCATCCTTGCCGAAGGATGAGGTATGACCACAAACCAGAAGCCAGACCACAGCTGCATCATTAGCCACTTTAAACCCCTCCAATCCATACATGAAGCAAACTGACACCCACCATGAAGATGAGGCACGACCACAAACGCGAAGCCAAACAACAGCAAGGCAGCTCACCATCTCAAATCCCCCTGCAACTCAGACTAACCTGAGCACAATAAAGCCCC